ACTGTTGGTTTTGAGTTGATTTGCTGACCTATTAATGATCTTAATTGGGGGAATTTACTTTAATCCAAATTTAATTTAATCTGCTACGGTAAAATTTTGGCCAAAACGAACGTTGGCAAGTGTGAATCTTTGTGAATATGATTTCTAGTGAACCGCACGACGTCTCCTGAGCTGCAAGCTATTACGCTGGACGTGCTCGACACTAATTTGTGCGACAACCTGCTGCGGCCGTCCTGCAACCGGCACTGGTGCGGCCTGCAGGAACACCAGATATGCGCGGGAGTGTTAGCGGGTGGCGTTGATGCTTGTCAGGTCAGTTTTATTAGCCGAATTCACAAATGCCTTGATACGATTATGCTGCATTGATATCACTTTTATTCTACAATCTATGAACCAACCTTATATTAAAACAAAAAGGCAAGATACGGTACTCGCGGCTCAAAAGTGATCCGCTTAAATTGTGGTGCATGACCACAATTCGCTTTAGTCACAACTGGACATTCAAACACGCTGCATGTGCACTCAATATAACAATATTGTATATATTCTTGTTATGAAGATAAGACAATGCCTTCGATGCTTTTATAAAGAACACAAATAGTTTAAAATCAAATAACAAATGCCTCGGCAATACATTTCATTCATATAACTGTAAAAACATTTTTTTATCAAAAATCACGGTTTGTTGTGAATGTTATTTACGTAATCACCATTATTAAGAAAAGGACAACATTACAACTCAGCCATTCGGACTCGGACGCTGATTCGCCGTTTCGCTCGCGCTGCATTGAAGCGTACAGTTTTGTCTCGCTCGCTGGGTTAAATGTTTATTTACAGACGTGTGCGTGTGTTAGAGTTGCTTATGTAGTTGAGTCGGATCATAATTTATTTGATGCTAGTATGAGCGTCCCGTATCTTTCCTTTTTATTTTAATCTCAGAACCAACATAATTTTCGCACGTCTTGCCGCCATGCTGACATTTTCCCTCCGACCTGAGTCCGTGGGGTGGGAAACATAGATATGTGGAAAACTTCATTCGCCAGTCCAATCAATCTATTTTATAGTTAGATAATCATTTAAATATTATCAGTAACTTAAAAATACCTATTAATCGATTAGACCTATCAGTTTAGTGTTATTAGTGCGAAAAATATTTTGTTTTACTACAAAATTTTGGCAAATGAGCATTTGTGGATTTAAATATTGAAACTTAACACTAGAGTGTTATAAATATTAGAAACTTGACGTAAATTAGGACGTCCTGTTGTAAAGGGTCGTCTAGCAAAACAGTTTGTGAACCTTAAACTACAGAAAAACGTTATTTTGCTACTGTCCTTTGTTTTAAGGAGAACATTGATCCAGGGAGGCACAAGATTTTTCTGGCTCATTATATTAGCTATCCAAATTGTACAACTGATTTTGATTTTTTTTACATTTTTTTTAAATCTACAATTGTTTTTTATGCTGGCTAAGATTTAAATAAAAAAGCATAACAAAAAATATAGTAAACATATTTTAAATAAACCAGATTGAACTAGTGGAACCTTCTTTTAAATCTGTATTGCCAAAAAATTTAATCTAGATTGATTCTGTCCACTTTTTAGCACCATAAAAATCAATTGAATGTGTTTTATAATAATTTAGGTGGACAAGATGAGTAGTAATAAAATAAAAATAACTATTTTGATTTCCAGGGTGATTCAGGAGGTCCTTTGCAAATGGAAATGTCCCTCCCACAACGAAACAACGAGTAAGTGTCTTGCAACAATTTTTAAATATTTTTCTTTTTATTAAGGTAATGTTAGAAAAATGGCATTTATGAGTAAATTTGACGCAATTGAACAGTAACATAAACGAATACTCTGTGACATATATTGTTTTAAACTTTCATTGTTACCAGCACTATAGTAATTTATGTTGTTTAAATAGTTGCAAGCACTATAGTTGCAAGCGCCATGAACACGGAGTAACTCCATAGCTCCATTACTCCGTGATCATGGCGCTTGCAAAAGTGCCGAAATATCGGGGACTCGTAAAAATTAATATCAAGGTACATGGTAGCGATCCCTTTAGTAAAATAAATTACTGAGTTTCCGGCCCGATTTCGTCAAGTGAGGTTGGCGTGATATTTAAAATAATGTGGAATCTTTAAAATAAACGATATTTCGGTCAAGTAAACGTGACTACTTTATTGTAGTGTTGACTACCTCATAGAAGCATATCGAAATATCTTACTTGATACATTTCGTGCCAAACACTCCAAGTAACATTAAAATGCGTCACACCCATATTCTAATGTTAAAAAAATAAGATCAATAAAACTTAACACTAGGCTGTTCCCATACAGCTTTTTGTACGTTTTTTGTTGTTCCATTTGCCTTCCCAGAAAAGAGAGAATTAAAAAAAAACGAGTGTGCTGATGACCACACGATTGAAATGAAACTTCTATAGTTCCATCTGTATGTATATATGTATGTGTACAATATGTATATATGTATGTACATATACATAACACACTTTTCATAACGCGTTCGCCAGCTTACTCGCCAAGTCAAGCGTGCGTAAAGAAGTTTCACTTCAATAATAAAGACATCAATTATTCATTGTGACATAGTTCTAAAGGTGGAGACAAACTGAGCCCACGTACGCAACGTATGCTACGCATTATGACATCTATACTACGATATTTGTATATCCAAGTCATATGTTTCCAACATATGACTTGGAAACACACTTGTCATATGCAACGTTCCGTACGACCAGTTTGTTTCCAAGTCATATGTTTTCATACAAATTTCATAGTTTAGCAGTCATACCTAATGAGTAGTATACGTTGACTCACTCTGTCCCTACCTTTTGTCTTGTGTTCGTAAAAAAACAAGAGACTGACGATTTTACTTTTGACACAGTTGTGCGTCCTCCAACTCCTGTAGACGCATGCATCAAGTAGTCGGAGTGACGTCATTCGGTGTCGGTTGCGCTCTCCCGAAGCTGCCCGGCATCTACACCAGGGTCTCCAGCTATCTCGACTGGATCGAAGGCATCGTCTGGAAATAAATATTCAGTCAAACTACTGCGCTAATTGTTTTATTTTCATTCCATTCCATTGAATCGTCCAATTATTTTTCCTTTCACCCATTCACGTCATTTTTTAGCTGATGCAAATGCAACAAAATAGAAGGTCTAATCACACAGGCATTTATATTAGGTATAACTAAATAATATTTCAAAAATAAAGTATACTCACCTTCGCTGGCATCACCCGTTTACGAGCATGATGCATGAACCAGCCATCGCTTTGCTAAACTATATTTTAGGGAACGTAGAGACAGGCCTCACACAAAACGACACGATGAGTATGTTAACCGGGCTTCAAGATGTTCCTGTCACAGGTACCGGGTTCAAATCTCTGTGAAGCAAATATTTGTATGATGAGTACGAGTTTTTTAAGTAAATCATGGATGTTGATATGTATTTCTAAATAAATATAGTTATTATTCTATCTGTTCCCTAGTAGCCTGCCAGTATTTACTTTGAGGCCAGGTTTATTGGTATGTATTATAAAAAAACGACGAATTGCTTTAATTATCAGTACAAAAAATAAAAAATATATATATATGTGGTAGAATACAATATTTATTTATTGCGCTATCGTACACAAACATGACAATTTATATTACATTAAAAAAGTTTATCTCTCAGAAAAATTAACTTACATGAAACACACACTTTTAAGCGCACTTAGCGACATCCATTGTAAAAAAATCAACTTACATTAATCACATTTAATCGCACCTAGCGACATCTATTGTAAAAAAACGCAGTCCTAGATAGAGACTTATTATTATAATACGATAAAAAAAAATACTAAAGAAGTTTTCACTTCAAAATTTATAACTGAAACCTATTTGGAGTGCACTGGAAAGAAGGGCTCTGCAGTGCATAGGTATATTTAAATTAATTTATCTACACCCATGCTTTAAAACCTATATTAAAAAATTCTGAAACAGTTAGATTACTGCCAACATTCAGACATCCAATGTCCTAATAACCATCATGTCACCCACACAGATAATTTAATGTTGTTTAAAATTCATAATCACAGTTCTTCGCTTTTTCAATCCCTTCGGCGCAAAGGACTCGTTAGATAGCCACATTGTTCTTACTGCTCGATGCGTGGTATCTGTAAAAATTTCAAAACAGGACATTCTCATTCACGCGCGAAATTTAAGTGTTTAGAACGCCTCAAGGTTTCAGAATCCTTTATAGAGGATTCATATTATAATGGATGTAGATAAAGTCTTGTATGTAACTGTTTATAATTAGGCATTAAAACACTTTTGTGATACTATTATCACACTTGGCGTTGCCTCATCAACAGCGACATAAATAACTGTTTACGTATTTTTAAATATGTATTTGCCCGAAGGGTAATTTGATCCAGTCTTGTGCTTGGCACAAGTTAAGTTTTTCCTGATGGTAGTAAAAAAATCTTCCTCACAGTAATCAATTTAGTTTGTACAAACTAAATTGATTACTGTGACCTTAACTGATGTGTGGAGTCATATAACATAAGTTTTAAAACGATTAAATTATTTACTAAGAAGAAACAAAGAGGCGTACCAAAACTATCACATATCTTTTTGCAAATTGAAATAATCTGTTCTATAAAAGAATCTTATTTCTTATCGAACTCCTCCGAAACGGCTTTAGCGATATTTGAGTGTGTGTTTTTTTTTATATTTTTAGGTCGTAGGCATTTTTTATGCCCCTAGATGATCAGGATCTCCAGTTTTTTTTTATTTTAGGTTTTGGTAAAATAATTTGGCATCAGAACATACATGCAACCCTAAATTTTTACCCTTTTACCGCAAACCCCTGTTTTTATGGCGATACAAAGTCATAGAGCAACATAGCCGACGCGGCCAGTACGAAGTTCAATTAGTTTGTTGTACTACAGTTTTTAAAGCTCTTGTTTGCTAATCTTCAGTGTTCGAACATTTTCCTTATCGAGATGACAAAGTCAACGTTAATCTTCAAACAAATCGAGACAGGTTTCATTGCGATGTATCAATCGTGTTCCAACATGCACTTCAGACAGACGTGTATCTAATAATACGTTATTATTAATCCTAGTAATACGTTAATTATTATTGAGTGCAACAATATTTGGATGTTCAAAATTGTAAAGTCATAGGTTAAAACCATGAAACCTTGGATGAATAAACCACAAATAATATACTTTTGTTTCGTGTTGACAAGAGGTAAGATATTCCATAATTAAGCTAAATTATTTGCGGAGCTCGGTTTATCTATAAATCAAGGTGGATAAAATTAAGTCTTTGTTTTTCTTTTAATATATATTTTCAAATGTATAAGGTTTAAATAGTAGTTTTCATTTAAAAATTTTGGATATATGTAACATACCAGTAAACCATTTTTTAACTAATTTATTATTGTCATAATTACATAATAAAACGTGTTTTTATTTTTTACCACTATGTCGGCAAGGTCGTTTTCTTGTGATTTTTAATGTTTTCCTTTGGAAATGTTTAATTATGTGATTGTAAGAATTAATGTATGCAAATGCACCTATCTGTTTAGTCACCTGATGATACTAATTCTTATTTTACTGTATTTTTATTCATTATTATATTTGAACGACATAACAAAAATATTAAACTTTTATTCCTAAGGCTTATATTTATCTTCTGTTGTTTTACTAGGCACGAAGGAGGATATATTGAAAGCAACCTATATAGAATTATATAATATGTTGACTTTTACACACATGTGTGGTCGCAGAGAATTTAAAAGTTTTAAGATCATTTATATAAAACATAGTGTAAATACTATTTCTTCTTCCCCATTACCACATTTCCCATACAATTCATTCGAAAATAATCACATTTTTTAATCTAAGGGACAATGGGCAAATGCACCCAGCTCCGCCAACAATGTAATTAGTATGAAACGATAGATCTATGAAAAACTAACATTATGACACCGTAAAAAATATCCTGGTAGTCAAAAGATAGGACAAATGGGCATATTAAATATGCCCATGTAAAGTGAATTCACTTAAATTTTAAGTAGCAAAATAAATTCACTTTATAGTGCTTTCATTTTATATTATTAGTAACCTTAATAATATGCCATATCGTACTATACAACCAGATATATATGACAAAGCCTGCCGACCATCCTGCGCTTGCACTTACTGAACCACCTCAAAACGGTTTACGGGGGTTGCAAGACTTGCAGTTGCAAATACTCCACTCGTCTTACTTCGTTGTGATTGTGCGCTCCCTGTCACTTGATTGATTTTTATCTAACACGCTTTGTACACTGGAACACGATTATCGGTTTTGTCAAATAGTATGGATGAACTGGAATCACGTTTTCTTCGAAGAGTGGACAAGTTTGTGTGATTTGTGGTCGCTCCGTTTTACATAGAAGACAATTTACTATTACGAACAGACTGTTTGGAAAAGACCCCAACCCATGCGGGGATTTTTGGATTTACTCTAACGCGGCAGAATAACACAAGATGGTACTCTTGCACCTTGTGGAGTACTCCCATAATACCTGAGCCCTCTATGTAGGGTCGAACTAACTAAATTAATTCCCTTATTTTATTAATGTTCGTTCGTTATAGGTATGTATTAACTTGTACTTATTTAACTAAAAATAACTAAAGACCCCCGGAATGGAATTTGATGCGCTTTGTCACATATGATCATGACTATACCTTTCAAACAAATGTAGTTTAAGCCGTGGCGGACGTGGGTGCAGCGTCCATACATTTTTGCCCAATGTCCTTTATGCGAATAACATCATAGAATATAAAACTGAACGATCATTTTAATTTTATTGCAGCATTATTAATTTCACATGCCAGCGGTTTACCAGTGGAAACGGTGAGTAAATATGAGAAAAATAAAGTATTTTTAAATAAAAATAACAGAAAATAAGTCTTATGGTTAGCGGACACCATTGCCTAAATGTGATGCTTGCGATATACTTACATGACTCACACGTGGTCAGGGTAGGTAGACTTTTTTTTTTAAAATTAACTTTTCCAAAATTTTTATACATCATTAAAACCCTTCGAATTCCTCGTCTTTTGAGTGCTCATAAGCCCTTGTGCCAGCTCGCGAGCCGCCCGCCGCGTGATATCGCACCTCGCGCTGCACAAAACTCGCGGCTAATAAGGACAGCTCTACAGCCTCAACCGTCACCAATATCGAATAAGTGTAATGACCTAAAATGTTCTTTGGTTCAATGCAGCGGTGTTTTTTTTCCTCATATTTTTGAAATTCGGCCCCGTTCTCGAGATATGGGAAATTTTATGTGAAAACACCTTCAAATTATTTTGAGCCCTTATACGTCCTCGTGGCCCTAAATCTCGGGGTATCACGGGCGAGTCGCACTTGCAGCGAAAATTTGGGCCTACTGGAGAGAACGAAAAAACATTTTCAATGTTAAAATCCATGCGTTGAAAGACATCATAAGTCGTAGTTCCAACTGCATCTGAGACCTTAGCACCTTTTTTTTTGTTACGCAGGCAAAACCTCTGTTTACAGACGACGGCACCTTTAAGAGGCACACCGCCAACCGGACCTTACACCTGGCTCCCGCAAGCCTTACGAGCCCCCGCAATGGCTGCCCTCTGAGGACCCCGTAACTCTTACGTGCGCTTTACGGCATAATATCCGCTAAAAAACCCTGCGAATACACTCTAAGCTGATTAGTGCGAAGCCGCGGAATACCCGTTTAGGGATTCTTCCGCGTCATCTGCGAACTTAGCACCTACCTATCGCGCAGTGGGTTATGGAGGTTACGACTCGTTCTTTCTATTCTGTTTATAGGTAAACCTGCCCCATCAGTGGGGACATTAATAGGCTGATGATATATTACTTAGCTACAGTCTAACGCAGAGTGAAGAATATTTATAAGTGCTAGTTATAGAGACAAATTCACAGTAACCCACTTACTTTAACACACATTTTAAAATGCAATTCAGTGATAAATTACATTATATTTCAGGAGGATGACAGATGGATCTGGGGCTACGTAATTACTGATAAACCAAATGTAAGCTTCATATAAAAGCTGTATTAGCTATATTTTTCTTTTATTTTTATAAATCAGCCTAATTCGAGCTTTACCCCTTATTCACTAATAAACAAGGAATTAGACTAGTTACGCAGTGTTTTATTCATGTCACTCAAGTGACATATGTCATTCGATAAACAGAGACAGAGCATGGTGTAACTAATCCAAGCTTATACTTCGTTTATTAATAAGGGGGAGAGTTTGAATGTTATTGTCATGTTAGTGGGTTGTTACTTCTATAAAATGTGTTTTGTGCGTGTAGGTGTGTGTTTTTGGCATATGTATGGTAGTTAATTATTTTGAGTGGTGTAAATTTGTATCATATAGTTTTTATAAGTTTATCTTTATTGTTATTGTACAGTAAATATTAGCTTTCTCCACTCATTCTCTGTATAAAATTTATAGTAATATGCATAGAACATGGGTTGGCAAAATGTCTTATAGGTATTACTACAAAATTTCCTCTTAACGTACCAAATGTATTTATAATCAAGATTCCGTCCTGTTCCGTTCCGTTCTGTCCGCGACATTGTCTGCACGGAATAATTTGTTTCCCGTTCATACTTTCACCACCGTTTACACCACTTCCAAGGTTGATTTCTAGGATAAAAATTGTGTCCTTTCCATGGACTCAAACTATTAAAAGTGGTTAAGTGGTTTAAGCGCAAAGAGTTAACTGACAAACACATTTTTGCATTTATAACATTAGTATGATTCCTATCAGAAATAAGATATTCTTTATTTAATAATTGTTCAGGAGAGCCTAAGAGAAAGGATAAATACAGAACCTCAAAAGAACCCATGCGGTCCACCTCCGGCGGTCCCTGACTTCAGAGCGCCGGGTCGGCGAATAAGCCACGTGAGTAAGTGCCATTTCAGTTAATATATTTTTGTTGGAATGTCCATTAATTGCTAGTCAGCTAAAAAATGGGAACATTTGGAATAGTATGGTATTGTATGGAAAACAATTTGGACGTTTCAAAAGATTTGTGCTATGCATCCAAATTTGAATAAAGATATTATGAAATTGAAACAAGAAATGTCAACGTCAATTCCTGATTTCGAGTGTATAGCGAGTCCAATCGTGAAGATAGTTGATGCTCCACCCAACCTTACCTTCACGATCTGTACAATTCTCTGCTTCGTGAAGTGTTGAAAAATTAACAGGCCTTTAACACAACAGGCTGTGGCCTGTGCATTACCAGGGCAATAGGATACTGATACCCCTGATGCTCCGGGGCACCTGGCGGGTGCGTGGCCATTCGGAGACAGGTTCCGCGACCACACTAGTGGGTTCTCGGCATGCACTAGGGGAACCGCGGTCCTCATAGCGCGTGTCGGGTGACGCTGCAGGAGTATTGTCTGGTTTTGAGTGGCCCTGTTCAGGGTGCTTACTCTTGAAACCAATCCCGATCGATCGACATTGGCATTGTGACGTTTCGTACTCTTGAGTTGCAACACTAGCGCCAAATTGGACTCATATTGCGCGGAGATTGGTTAAACTAAATGGCATTGAGTTTTACTTGAATCCGTACTCTTGACGCTATTTTGACAGCTGTAATTGCGATTGTATTGTGTTAAAATTGGATAGCGATTGAGATTTTTACAATAACAAAAAAGGTACTGTGTGTGTATTGAGTTCGATTATTTTAAGTTAAAACAAGCATTTTGTGTGAGATATGGCGCGATTAGCTCTTCCCTTCGTTATTTTACGTAATGCCCGAAGAAATGAACTCAAAATAAGAAGAAATGAGCGTCGTTTGGCGCGTTATATGGATAGGGCATTCTCCATGGGCGAAGAAGAATTTGTGGCAAATTACCGCGTCACAAAAGACTTATTTAATTTGATATAAGAAGAGCTGAGACCCTTCTTACCTGTTTCAAAGAGGAGAAGTGACATATCACCAAAATATAAAGTAAGTGCCTGATAGAAATTGTGTGATATAAACAATTAATGTTATTATTTGATTATGAACTAAGTTAACATAATAATATCAATGTTTTGTTGATATAACCTTATAATATGTCATTTAGATGATTGTTTAGAACAATGCATGTATGCATAAATTTTAAACTACATTCTCATTTTGCAGTTATTGGTAGCATTATCATTCTTTGCAACTGGTAGTTATCAATGGATAGTGAGTACACAATAATCTTATCCAATTTACTAAAAGACTTTTTTCTTTTCAGATTTTATGAAAAATTTGGAATCCTAAATTTGTCATAGGTGGCACACATGTTTGCCATAGTAAGACCCACTGAGAATGAAGAGAGGTTTCTCAATAGAAAACATTTTCACTCAAGGAATGTTATGATTGTAAGTCCTTAAACAAGGAGGGTTCATTAAATACTATATTATATATATATTTTTTTGTTTATTTAAAAATGCCATTGCTTTTGTTATAGATCTGTGATGCTGATTTGAATATTCTGTCTGTTGATGCCTCTTTTGGTGGTGCGACACATGACAGTTTTGTTTGGCATCAGCACAGCATAAGGAGTCATTTGATTGCTTTAAATGATGTCTGAGAAAATGTTTTTTGTTAGGTAAGTCATACATAGTAATAGTATAAATTTCATATACCGAATATTTTTATAAAAATTATATTCTTAATGTACACAACTATAAATACAGACTAATCATGGAAACTAAAATGTGAATTTATTATTTTTAGCTGATTCTGGATTTACTCAGATGGTGTATATGATGACTCCTATTGTGGGTGCTGCTGAAGGGTCTCCAAAAGAGTACTATACTAAAGTGCATTGTTCTGCTCGCAATGTTGTGGAATGTACTATTGGAGTACTAAAGAATAGATGGCGATGCTTATTAGGGCATAGGGTGCTTCATTATCATCCTAGTAAAGCATCCAAATTCATTAATGGATGTTGTGTGTTACACAATATCTGCCACCAGTCCCACAATTATTATCATATTGAGGATACTGAGATATTGGATGATGCTGAAATATTATACCAGCATCTCAAGAAGCTCATGGGACTGGTTCATCAGTTGCTGAACTCAGGAAAGGTATTGAAAAAAGAAATTCTTTGGTTCAGCAACTACGGTCAGCTTGTAGGTGATTTTAATAAAGGTTGTATCTGTAGTGTAAAATAAAACATAAATTTAAAGTTGATTTATAATGATCTAATTAAAGTGAGTTTCTAAATTAGTTAACACTGTAAAACTTTAATAAGTTGTTTTAGTAATCCTAAGCATAGTCTCAGAAGTACAACAACTACTTTACAATTTCAACTTGGATATATTTAAAAATTGTTATAATTTTATCTAACTTCCTTATTATATTTTGTGATAGTAATTTGTGTCATAATTATTATTTTTTTATTACAATCTTGTAAATAAAACTAATACTAATTATATATATTGTAAGTTACATTATTTGGTTGTTTTTATTTCAGTCTTGTTAATATTGCTAATATTTTAATCTATGGTAAACTATCCCGTTTTACAGTCTTACAAGTAAAATAAACTTATACTCCAATTATTTACATTTTACATTCCAAATAATAATAATAATAATACCTAAAGCGAAAATACAATAACTAAACTTATTTTTTTCTTAATTTTGTAACCTATTACTTATTACCCCTAATGCATTTGCTACCCTTGTATGAGCCTCAGCTATGGGCAGCATTTGCGAGTCGGTCAAAACTTCTGCTGGTATTAGCAAAGGCCTCCGCAGTAAGCCTCTTAGCCTCTACGCGCCTTTCTTCTATGCATGCCATATGGTCCATCTCTGCATCAACACTTCTTGACAGCAATCGTTGTGACCGTCGACGAGAAGCATTTGTAGCGGAATCTTAAAACACAAATTTCATACTAAATAATTTGTTACTAATTCTTCAAAAAACAATTATAAAACACCACTTAAAGATAAAAAAAGATCTGCATTTAACTCAACACTATCCTAACAAGTGGGTCTCCGTTGCTTTTTTTTGACATTCCAATCCAAAGACCTCTTAAGTTTTTATCAATGTGCTTGTACATTACTGAATTGAAGGAATGTCTGTTGTGGTTTTGAAAGAATTTATTGAGGAATTCAATATAGGTATATTTTAAATGACTTTATATGCATGGTTAATAATAAATAACTCACTTGATGGAAGTGGTATCGTGCCAGCGGCAGCAGAAGTATCTTGCCTTGAGGTCCCAGCAGTGGGGAGTGGAGGAGGCAGTAAAAGTTCTTCGTCTATTATGCCCTCCCTCCTCAATGATAATATGACATCATTTGCAGAAGTGGTAGGTGTCTCCACAGCGTCTGTTATTGACTGCTGAAAAGTATTAAAGTTAATGTCACAAAATATAGTTTTTTTTTTTGAGAATAAGTATATTATTATTAAAATAACTATCTATGTATACTATACATAGGACATTTAAAGACAGATATTTCGGTCCACTTCCTTTTGTTATCTTGTTTGCCCTGTGAAGTCCTTAGAAAACCCCTAGCGATACAGGGATTTTGCTCAAGGAACTCCACAAGAGCTTCCAATTGTTGAAAAGTAGGCCAATTTAAAACAAATTGCATACATTCAACATAAAATAATCAGACAAAAATACGTACCTTAAATAATCACTGCTTGACAATGTAACCGCTACACAACAAGGCTGCAAGAAACACTGCACTTATCTGAAGTACTACAGCCATGAATTAAACACTTCATTCAAACTTATGAAACTTTTAAAACTTATCTCGGAAATACACATTTTTTATATATTTAAGGCAAATGCGTGACGACATACAGTCTCAGTGTATTTATAAGATGATAAACAACAAAATATAGTGTTTAAGGTACCGAAAAGTAATAGTTAAGGACACATAATTACATTGTTTATTAAATTATTCATTAAAATCAATCATTTATGGTGTTAGAAACAGTTTTTTCATTTTGTTATATGTTTGTCGATACGGCGTAAGCGCAAAGGTCCCCACTATTGCAGAGTTTTAATTAAGCTAACTTCATGCGTAACTATCCAATAACATCTCAATCCCAATTTCAATGCAGTGCCAATTTCAAGCGTTTCAAGAGTATGGTTTCTGAATTGTATTATTATTGGATTGGCTTCAAATTGACATTGAGAATAGATTCAAGAGTAAGCAGGCAGGGCGTAGGTAGTGCCCTGTTTACTTCAGCGAGCTCCAGGGCTGGCTGAAGAGGACAGGGAGGAGTCCCACATACCTTCTTCTCGCTCCCCCAGTGGTTGAAGGATGCGTAAGGCATTATCCAGACACAAAAAAGGGCAATAGGATAACACTTTACCTGAATAAAAAAAAAATAACTGACTACTCTAAATGTGTTCAGAATTGTCAGTTAAATACCTCCTTAAGAAAGGTTACTATACTGTTAAAGATTTTCTGAATGTTAAAGCACCTTGGGCTTAATATAATAGCCAAAGTCGTTTTACTTTGCTAATTTGGTTGAAGACTGTTAATCGCCACTTCCAAATCTAAAAATAGTATACCTTACACTTAAGTTATTGTCAATTAATAATATTAATATGATGTAAGTTGACATCAACACATGTTTTAAATTTTTAATATCATCTTTCAATTGACGACACTGTTTAAAACAAAACGGGGAGAAAAAAAAAGCCCTTGCTGAGTTTCTTGCCGGTTCTTCTCAGTACAAGGTCTCCCGCCGTAGATTTACGAAGCGATGGCGTAACGTTTGACTTTCACAAGAGCTTGTAACAGCCTAGACTGAATAAATGAGTTTGAGTTTGAAAATAATAAAATTGTAAATGTGAACTGACTACTTTGACAGTCAGTAAAATTAATTGCTTATAAATGTAACGTGTTATACTATTGCTGTAGTGATGCAAAGTATCCAAAGTATCGCAAAAAGAAATCCTACTACACGTATTTTAATTATCATCTTCTTATAAATAAAATTCTCGTGTCACAATGTTAGTTACCATAATCCTCCGAAACGGCCTGACCGAATTTTCTAAAATTCTATATGCATATTCCGTGGGTCTGAGAATCGGCTACTATTTATTTTTCATAATCTTTAAGTGATAATGGTCGTCCACCTGTAACGTAGTTTTTTGAAACCTACAATTCGACTTCGCGCCTAAAATCAAACTATTGAATATTGTAACGTAGTGTTCTCATATGGGTTAGGAGGAATGTTATCCCAGGAAATTGATAGAACACTACGTTACACACTACTAAAATTTTTTTTGGACAATATTTGTTTTTTTATAATGTGGTATGAAAAAATACATACAACCCTAAATTTTCTCTTCTACCAACTGCCCCTATTTTTATGGCGGTGCGAAGTTCACTGGGTCAGCTAGTTGGCTATAAAAAAGATTGAACTGCCGACTGAGTGGAAAATCGCAAGAATGTAATACCATAGAAGGATGTCTTTAGGCATGCTCATCCATATTTCTGTTATATTGTTTTAAACTTCTATGGTCACTTAAAACTATTTTTTTATATTTGTGTTTTTTTTGGTAACAGAATGTCTGGAATACATATGGGATATCAAAGAGAGAGAAGATTCAGTGACAAGAGCAATAGAATGTAAGTTAAAAAATTGCTTAATTATATTTTTTTTCTTATATATTGTATTTATATAACATACATATAATATGAAGGAATGATTTCTTCGTCGAAGGAGCTGATTTGATCATCTGATTCAATAAGTTTATATGCAGAAAGTTGAGACAACTCAACTACCTGGGGTACTATGATAGGAGAAACTTACCTTCTCTCTCGCATTACGTTTCTTTACAACTTAGCTCACATTCTATGATGACGATTCTCTACTACCTATTGTTAAACGATTTCAGACAAGAAAACTAGAAATTCAAAGCAAATTAAAGGAATTCCCAACAAAAGTCTGTACTTACAGTGACTGGAATCCTCGCCTTATATTCAACAAACATTGTTACTTGCAAAACAACAAGTTGCTTAGAATCTCGAAGAATATAATTATAATGAAAAATACGCTGAAAAGCGTTTAACCTATGTTTTTATACGAGGCTCAACAAATTACCCTACCCCACCTGATGGTAAGTGTAATGCCGCTTCAGCCATCCTCACTTTGCCGGTCTGAAACCAATCCTCTACCTCACGGAGCTCTAGAACTCTACTCACCAGCAGAATCACAACATGGTGGTATGGCTACTGGCTTATGAGCCAGTGTTATTTTACTGTGGTCTTCTGTAAGGTGGACGTTGCTTCCCCAGGCGGGTGCTCCAATTCGAGAGGATAATCCGCTGTGCCATATCTTTTTTAACTTAAAAGGAATTCAATGATTTCAAAATTTTCAGGTCAAAAATATCTCGATTCTTTAAAAAATGAAACGGTAATTTACGGCGGTATCGGTGGTCGCATTACAGAACCAGGGGAGTTTCCTCATATGGTAAGTAAACCACCAATATACCACACTCCTACTTTCTCAATATCCTCACCATCATTACCTCACATTTTTTCCGGTACTTATCGGGCCAAATAGATGTTGATTAGTTTTGTGACAGCTTGAATTCATTTTAAAAAAACCAATAATCTTTTCTTTGAGCCGAGTACTTAAACTATGTATTGTGTATCTTTCTGTTTTTTTATTGTTTATAAATATATATTATAGTATACATTATATATGTATGTATGTATGTATATATATATATACATACCTACTTAAAATGCATTGAAGCATCATGTGCACTACTTTCCGACTTTGTTAATTATTACTGTAATTATCTGCGGAAACTATTGATTGGCCTTAAACATAAATATTATCTAGCTGTAAGTTTCCCAAAATTTGTAAAATAAAATAAATGTTTCATACTACGGCACTACCACCATTTTTCGTATAGTCAACTAGTGAAACTATTAATTCTACTGATAGAACAGAATGCGAAGGAGTACTCTTTTGGTTCTATGTTGTTTTCTTCTTCATTACAACTATATAGAATAGGATAAAACTCCTCTCTTTTTCAATTTATATGTTATTATGACAGGGTGCCATCGGCTGGAAATCCTCGTTGGGGCAGTGGGTGTTCAAGTGTGGAGGTTCCCTCATCAGCAAAAAGTACGTATTGACCGCGGCGCACTGCTCCAAGGCTTCTGAAAGGGACACTACCATCGCCGACGTCGATCCCAAGATTGTGAGGTTGGCCGATAAAAACATACTGGTGAGAATTCTTGATACTAGCAAAAGCATTAAAACCCGGCTAAATGTGAACGAACGTCACTTTTTTCATAAAAATATTCATTTTTAGGGTTCTGTAGTCCTGACAAGTAACCCTTATAGTTTCATGTAACCGCGAGTACCAACAGCAACGGCTTCTGAGTCGCGCTAACGTTACGTTTTTATAAAAGGTATATAAGCACTAGAAAATATCGGCGGTTACACAGCATCCATCATCCCCTTCTCAGGGGATGATCGCTTCAAAATCTCTTTTAGGGAAGATTTTAGTCAGGAAGAGACTGACATAACCTTGCAGCTGCCTCTAGGGTATCCATGTGGATTTCACACCCGCTCCTCTACCTGGGGGGGAACAAAAAAAATATTCGTATTGAAAAAAATAATAATGACGAATTGATTTTGAGTTTGAGACGCAGTATGACTTTGATTTAGGTATTTTAGTTGAGATACATACCTAGATTGATAACATATATTGTGGTAACTACAGGCAACATCGGAACTCTACGCTGCGCGTAGCACGACACGCACAGCGTAAAAAGTTATATTTGTTTATGAAGTGAAAACTTCTTTAGCGGCGTTGTACACTTTTTTTGTATAGTTAAAAAATGAAAAACTCGTGGGCTGATCGCATCATGACACACAATAAAATTGGAAAGGTCGTTGACTTTGAATATATTGGACGAAACATATTAATATTTTATTTTACGTATTATAATATTAAGTCTCTATCTAGGACGTCCACGTGGCAGCTTTATTGCGAAGAAAATGCATTTTTTTTTAATGTAGAAATGTGCATCTTTTAATAATCCTGGAATCCAACAGTCGGTTCAGGTCGGTTTTAAAATTTTATTTATTTTTTGTTATTTGTCAGTATAACGGCAATAAACGTAAAAAGTGTGACTCTAGATACTAGGCCATACATGACAGACGGTCAATGTAATAAAATTCAATCATCACATTTTGGGTAAAATCCACTAAAATTCCTTTAAAATTCTTGAGGCACTATTAACAAATGCCAATGAAATCCGAAGGACTATTAATGATTAAACGAACTTACCTGTACGTGAAGTTCTATCATAATTACACTCGTGCTTCGTCCTCGAGATTAGTAATCTGAAATAAATTTTAACATTCACTTGTAGACCTTGAGAGTAGGAAAGTTGAAATATTAGCATTAGCAACAGCAAAATGATACTAATTAGTTTGTATTTATTTTTCACAAATTTAAAATACACTTTTTATTTAAAATTACACTTAACAAAGTTTTACAATAGTTGTGTAAAAACAAAAACAGCAACAATCATCTAACACCTGATTCAGGTACTCACAAATGCGTAAACGAAGCTAGTGACAGAGGGTTTGATCTCCTATTATGGTTCTGGCTAGGGAGCTGCTATTGTTATTAATGATAGGAGAAGTAGGACTCCAGCCTGCTATCTTCCGGATGGTATCAATACTAAGGCCAAGGCGGCGTGCGTGAGATGTGCTAGCGCGTGCTGTGCGCACTGAATATAGACACATCCAGGCCGCTGGCAGAGAGTTTGTCTTTTATCCAACGACTAATGGTCTGGCTCCCTACTGTAGTTGGGGTGGGTTTCCTAAAACTAATGAAAATATTATTTTCTTTCCTACGAAGGGATTTAGTTTTTTTCAAATATGCGACCAGAGATGTTGCCGGACATATTTCCGGTCTAAGTCGAGAAAAGGGTAAATAAAGTACAGGATGATTGGAATGTGGTCTAGATGTTTTTATCAAGTCCGGAATTTTGATTATTATTTCTTGCTCACGAATATCAATATTTAAAATATTAATTTTTGAAATTGTCTGTACTCTGTGGGCTGTCGTTAACGCTAACAGAGTCACACATTTCTTAGAAAGCTGCTCGAGACTAAGGCTTTCATTTGGATACCACTTCGACAAAGTGTTTAACACAATTGTTGGATCCCACGTCATATCATATTTTGGTGTGGGAGGTCTTAAACGGAAAACACCTTGAAGGAGTCTTTTTATGAGATCATCATTAGATAGCTTCGGACCTAAAATTAGTGACAAAGCAGCCCTATAGCTATTACGTGATCCATATTTTGACCCATGTTTAAAAATCGGGGTAAAAAATGAAAGCACTGAAGAAACGCTGGCATTGTACAAGTCTAATTTATTTTCCCTGGTATAAGTAAACCAACGTTTAAGACATACATCATACTGCTTCAAGGTGTTTGGTGCCAATGATGACAGCATGATTTCTAAAGCATCGGGAGGGGTTCCGCGTCGTCGTAGTTCCTCCCGCATAATACTCCGGCAATCAGTGTAAGATTCGACTTGATGTTGCCGCGGCTAGAATGAGATATAATAACATTATCATTTGGTGAAAAAAATATTGTTTCCGATATAAGTAACCGCTGAAATAATGGAAACCACGGCTGAGTTTCCCATTTAGGAACTATTATTATACCCCTGACTTTATCTGTAACAATCTTTTTTAAGCATTTTAAAATAACAGAAAACGGGGGAAAAGCATAGAAATAAAATTTCGACCAGTTTAATGTGAAAGTATTAATTGCAAAAGCATCTGGGTCTCTTTGCCATGACACATATTTGAAACATGTTTTGTTAATGCGGCTCGCAAATAAATCTATGTCAGGTATATGGAACTTATTTGTTATTAATTGGAAAGCATGTATTGTCAATTCCCATTCTATATCTGGGTGAATACGCCGTGATTCGGCGTCAGCTATACTATTCTCTTTGGACCGAATGTAGGACGCATAGAGGAAAATTTTACGAGATTTACACCATTGCCAAATTTCCTTCGTTATTTGGGTAAGATGTGGAAATCGTACACCCCCATGCGGTTTATATAGGATACTGCAGTAACGTTATCTATCCTAAGTAGGATTTGACATCTATATTGAGTGTTTCCAAATATTTTTAGCGCAAAGGAAGCCGCTAGTAGCTCGAGGTAATTAATGTGACTACGGCGTTCTTCGTCAGACCATTGCCCACTAGCGACCTCTCTATCACACGCTGCGCCCCACCCCGTAGTTGAGGCATCTGAATAAATTTCTAGGGTGAAATTATCTTCTAAAATTCTGTGTGTACTGTTATCTATATGATTGTTCCACCACCTTAAATCTTCTTGCAAAGATTCAGGTAGAAACATATATCTTTCATAATCATTACAGTTTAATAAATTTCAATATTTGCATATCTCACATTATTTTGTATAAAGCCATCCATATTCGATAGCGGGACAAGCAGAAACCAATAAACCTACAATCTTGTAGGTTTATTGTAAAATATTTTATTCTTGATTTAATGTAATTTCGCTTATCAATAGGCAAGGAAATTTTATATCTATGGGAATCTATAACAAATCCTAGAAATTTATTTGATGTTGATGGAATGTAACAACTTTTTTCTTTATTGATTATAAATCCAAGTGAGCATAACAATTTCTGTGTAATAAAAACATTATTTGCGCATTCCTGGTAAGACTTCCCTATTAATTGTATATTATCTAAATAAATTGTTGAGAAGAATCCACCTGCTCGTAGTAGTTTTACTACGGGTTTCAATATTTTAGTGAATATATATGGAGCAACACTTAAACCAAAAGGTTAAACGTTAAATTCGTATAAATTATTCTCGAAATAAAACCTTAGATACTTTCTGCTATCTTTATGTATGGGTACAAAATAATATGCGTCTTTATTATCTATGGTGGCCATGTAACAATCACGCGACACCATCTTAATAGCAGGGCGAAAATCTTCTATTTTAAAGTGACAGGTAGTTATGAATTCGTTTAATTTTTCCAAATTAATATGAATCTCATTTTACCATTTGGTTTAGGGCGTAAAAACATTATGCTTGAAATAAACTAACTGGTCATTGCTCGGCATACAATCCGATATAGCTCCTGTTGGTTTGAGTGAGCGAATAGTTTCTATAAATTGAGATCTTTCTATGTCAGAGTATTTTTTAAGAATGGGAATGCAATTTTGAGTGACTGGTGTAGAAAATTTTAATTTGTAACCATTAATCCAGGATAGTAACGAACGATCGTTAGTGACCAATGACCAGACAGACTTGCTTGAATAGCGATGATCTACCAGCGAATCTTACTGGGTCTAACGCCTGCGCGTGGACCCCTGCGGCGGCGGCGGCGGCGGCGGCGGCGGCCTCGACGACGTGTAGCGTATGCCGCGTTGCGGCGGCGGCGGCGGCGGCGGGTACGCGTACGGGTGTAGCGACCAGCCCTGTGCTGCTGCTGCTGCAGGCGCTCGGCTCCTCAGTGTCGGCGGCTGCCTGCGCGCCGCGACGGGAGCTTTCCAGTTTAAATTATTTTTCTGTCTCAAAGTGATATTCTTGTTATTTAGATTGTTATTAGAATTCAGTTCGGACCCGGATTTGCTACTTTCAAAGAGTCGCCTAAGTTGTCTCCAAAGAGGAACTTGGAATTTTCGTATTGTACAAGGAGTCTTTTATTTCCTTTTTCAGGGAAGAGATTGCAAAATTGCGTCTTGCTAATGATTCGTCATGTTGTAAATCACACAGAAGGCGACTCGCGTTCATAAGATGTTTTAAGAGATTATTGTTCTTTTGTTTACTTTCTAATTCCGAAGTTAAGGCAGATGCTAAACAAGATATAGCAGCGCCTATTCTACACTGCCGTGCCTCTAAAAATTTGTCCCTCTTTAAAACTGGCTCTGAAAGAGCTGCTTTTACCTCTAAATTCAGTGCTGGGGTACCAACCTTAGTACAATTGCCAGGTATTTGGTATTTGTCACATAGTTCTTTACGTAGATCTTTGTTAAGTCCGGATGTTGCTATGTATTCAAACCAGCTGGCCACTTCAGTGCGGACATTTTCCCGAATTTCACTACCAATGTAGGATCATCTCCAAGTATATCGAGCAGTTCGCTATCCAAGGTAAAGTTTTCTTCCGTCAATTCTATGCCTACTTCATTTGCTATTTTGGTAATTGCATTTGTGGCTTCTTCGCCTGAAGTGGTTGCCCCAGGTGGTATCGCCATGGTAACGTCATTATCTAATGATGCGACAGGTGGTATCGCCATAGTGTCGTCATCATCTAATGTTATGACAGGTGGTAACGCCATGGTAACGTACTCATCTAATGTATGATCGTTTTAGCAACGTCTTGTCTCGTTCAATTTCCGATTTTCTCCAACTGTAAAGTTATATTTTGTTTTTTAATACCTCTAATGTTTTAACTAATTTAATTAATATTTATTGCTAACTTTAAGTGAAACATTTTTAATTTTCTATTTATGATCTTAAGTATGTATACATTTTTAATTTTATTTTTTTTTTATTTACGATCTTAAGTGAAGCATATCTGTTTGCATTTTTATTGTTAACATGCGGCGGATCAGTCCTTGTAACTGTCCTGTTGCATAATTATTTAACCGATGTGTATTTCTCGCTTCTAAGTACTCGTATGCGGCGGAGCAGTCCTGTTAACTGTCCTGGTACATACGTTTACATAATAATCGTACATGATAAAAATTGTAGAAAAAAAAGAAAAAAGATGATTTTTGTACAATATTTGTTATACTTACTATTGGGTTCAACAGGAGAGCGCAAGGAATCTTCCGATGACGATGATATAACTCGTTTTCTGCGTGACTTTGCATGCTTCAGTTTTTTCTCAATTTTGCGTAACTTTTTCGTTATAACACTTAAATCCGAATCCTTGTGCTTCTTTTTCGGCATGATGAAAAATAAAAAAATCACTTTTTACTGCAAAATTTACAGAATCGAAGTACGCGTGCGGCGTGGTTCGACACTTAAAACGTGAATGACGAACACCGCTTAGGAGACGGCCGGCGCCGAGTTGGCGGGTAGGAGGAAAAGTTTTTCAAAAATACCCTCAACTTATAGTGCGATTGTGGTGATACCTAAAGGTGCTACTACAAATGAATGTTAAAATTTATTTTAGATTACTAATCTCGAGGACAAAGCACGAGTATAATTATTTTACATATCGCATCACAAAAGAGAGTCACTAATGCCTTAATATTTAAATTCATAACAAAACTTGATTAATAAGAACAGTGAATGGCTCCGCCATCTCTATCACCATATACAGCGTCCGCGTTTGATCGTAGCCTGTCTGCAGTTTTGTCTGTTTCGATATCACAACTTGCTTCCAATAGCGAACAGGGTGATCACAAAACACCGAAAGAGGTTAGAAAAAGCTTGTGGGCGGGGCAGGCGTGCAACAGTTGTAAGTGATCAAAATTTATTTATTTAAACTTTATTGCAAAATTACACACAAATGGCGGACATAATGCCATAAGGCATTCTCTACCAGTCGACCAGTAAGAGCGTAAGAAAAGAACTAATATGAGGGGGGCGCAATTAAGACAAATTAAAGATAAACCTATGATACAAATACTCTTAACAGAATACATACATATTATACACATAATATATATAAATACATATACACACATACATATATACAATACATACATAAGTACACGATTATGTCCGTCAAATATGAGAACGCTGTTTAATGCTATTGAGATAGTGCTCACGAACCAATCCCCTAAATGCAAGTTTGTTTTTGCAAATGCTCATAACTTGACCAAAACTTGTGATGGCGTCGTTTATCATTTGTCGTTACTCTAGGATGTGACCGCTGATTCGTTCAATTGTTTGATGTTGCATCGTCTGATTGGCTTGTTATCAATTAGGTGGAAGTATAGTAGGGCGAGCCGGCGCCTCGGTTCACATACCAACGGTCCATGGTCACCCTTCCAACCTCTGACTGTGTTCTGTGCTGATGTCGTTTACTAGGTATAATATAATACGTTCACTACAACGCGTGTACTTGGACAACCAAAGTCGCCATTCCATCACTGTCCGATTGCACCCATCCCGACTCGTCTGGACTATAATTAATATATTTCGCCTATTCTAATTAAAACTGTTACCCTTAAAATACTCGATAACACAATGGTACTGTATTGTGACAAATGTTACTATTCATTGATGATTTCAAGGATTAAATCAAAGAATTAATAAAGCCTCCTACCTACTTCATTACAGGCAGTGGACGAGGAAGGATTCAATCCAGCTCATTGGGACCAAAATATTGTAAGAATCATAAATCACCCGGACTACAAACCACCGAAGAAATATAATGACATAGCCCTCATAGAATTGGAACCTGGTTTATACTTTACTAGTTTTGTACAACCAGCGTGCCTTTACACCGGTTCTGACGATGTGCTGGTGGGTAAAAAGGCTATTATGACAGGATGGGGAGTAGTTGAAACAGGTAAATATCGTACCAAAGTTGCACTTTCACGTATAATAATAATGGGAAGAGCTTAACATAGACCCGTTAGACACTATTTACGTGCCTATCGCCGTGCCGTTGTTTGATACATACTTAAATGTCAAATACAAAGTAAGTTGTGACGTGTCTGTCTGTCGTTCCAATCCCCTTTAGTTTTTAATTTTCTCTTTCTCTATTCTTTTGTATTAGGCCTGGTACAGAATAAATTACTGTATTATTAACCATATTTCCTTAAACATCTCCAAATTTTATTCTTTCTTTTAAGCTGGCGACACACTCTCCTATCTCGAGGTAGGCGAGGGTAACATTACAAAGTGTGTGCAAAACGTTGACAAATGGTTTCTTTTATAATACCAACGTCTTTTACCTAATCGCATTTGGCTATGCATCAAACAACAGGCCCTAAATCACAGATAAGAAACAAGAAGTTTATCATCACAAGCTCCCCCGAGCTTAGTAGGCTTGTACAATCACCAACGGTTACGAGGTATTGTAATTGTTTCCAGTGAACCACACGACGTCTCCGGAGCTGCAAGCTGTTACGCTGGACGTGCTCGACACTAAGTTGTGCGACAACCTGCTGCAGCCGTCCTGCAACCGGCACTGGTGCGGCCTGCAGGAACACCAGATGTGTGCGGGAGTCTTAGTGGGTGGCGCAGACGCTTGCCAAGTGAGCGATTAACACATAGCTTGCTATCAGTCAATCTTAGAGACGCAAACAGGCGTTAGCGCAACGCAGAGGGCATGTGAGGAGCCTGAGGGGCCTCAGGCTCGAGTGGCCTAGTGACTCTAAGGCAGGGCGATGACTTTAACACCCCGCAGACTGAACTGGCCTAGTTCCTCTAGGGCGGGGTGGTAACAGAGGGATCCCCGTGGAGATATTCACTACGCCAAGAACACCACTTGCCATTTTTCGAGATCCCCTTACATATTTGCCGCCCTCGCGCGGCGACTTCCAATCCGAGGACCGGATCAGCCTGATCAGCGTGGATCTGCGTAGATCGGGGAGTTGTTTTGCCTAGTGCGTATGTGAGACGAAGCACGGCCGACTTTCCACCATGGAACTCAGTTTCGGCACCAGGTGGTTAGCTTGACCAGATAAGCCCAGGATTGTGTCGAAAGGCGTGAAGTTGGCTATTGGATGGCCGCGGGTTGAGGGGTTGGTTAGTCACTTATGATTGCATGAGCAAATGGCCCTTTTGAGACCGTGGATGGTCAGCAGTCTGCAGCTCTACGTAGCATTGCAGGACAACACTCTGCTTTCCACCAGCTGAATGCAGCACACCAGATCATGCATCCTCGGGTGTATGATGTCGCATGCGCAATGCATTTTTTCTATGACCAATATCATAAAAAATGCTATCTGCAATTAATTTAGATCATTAAATAATTTGCTGTCAGCAACTATAATAAGTGCTTGGCAGTGTCCTTAATCTGTCTGTTATTCAAGTACAAATAAACTTAATAAGTTTCACAAATTGGTTTTCAGGGTGATTCGGGAGGTCCTTTGCAGATGGAAATTCCCCTTCCACAGAAAAATAAGTGAGTACCCAAAAAAATGTAAGTGACAATACGGCGTAGATGTTTGATGCCGTAGATTCTACGGCATCGAAAAAATCATTAATTTGTCTCAATCCATTAAAGATATACTTACCGTTGTGCATTTAATGAATGTTAACGCGAGAATTTGGCATCCAATCCTCAACAACGCGCACTTTCAATCCATTGTAACTCGCGAATTAGACAAAATAAACATATTTAATGTATGAACGAATTTCTCGACATTCTTTTCTTTTTCTTGTCGGATGTGATTAATTAAGGCTTCAACTATCATTCTATAAAACGTTCTTAGAAAGATTGAGTAATCTATTCATACTGGCGATAATTGCAAACCTACCGGTGAAATGACTTACGAAAGGACATTGTTCTGCGTCCATACATAGTTAGCCTAAGAACCAACAATCATGAAATATTATTTTCTAGGTTCGAAATCGCAAGTAAATGACTGTAAAAACAAAGATTATTGACGGACACTTCTGAAAACTTAAATTATTAGGAAAACTATTTTTTTTGAGGTTATGTTCAATATTCAATGAAACATAGGTCAACCTGGCAACTTAATATGAAGTGAATTATTATTACAACGAATTTATTTTATTCGGTGCGATTTTAAAGAATAACTATTAGGAAAAACTTAGTTAGGTAGGAATCATGAATAAAATAGAAACTCTAGTTTTGCTTCTTATTTATTGACTATTTTTGACATAATTGTATCATATTGTATATTGTATTTATATGTTTATCACATGTATATTGTGTAAATATGCAGCGTGAATGTGTATCAGGTGCTCTTGAATAATTTGGCAGTATGATCCTCTCAGGATGTTGTGGCACAGTTTCACTAGCACTTGGTAATAAGTACTCTGCTCTTTGGTTACATCGATGATTAAAGGAAAAACAATCGCAAATAAACACATGCAACAGGTAATCTGAAACGAGAATGCACTTTCCGGTATAATATACTACTCTTTGGAATGCACGAATGCCACATATTACTAAGAATGCAAACTGCCTGCACCACAACCACAGAGTATCGAGTTTTATGCCGGCCCTTCACTTGACAACAGTTTGTCCTTGTCATGCTTAATAAGGAATGAAATGGACAGACTGATGTCATGTTTTAAAATAGCAAATACGAATAGCCAACTGGAGTGCTGGCATTAGGAAGAAAGAGTGTTTTGTTTGCAGCACTGTCATAGATTAAACACATAAAATAATATTTATTGTCTCAGATTATTTTTTAACTTTTTAATTTAGCTTACTTAACTGGAAGTGTCCCTCACAATCTAAATACTGATAATTATCGCAAAAGATATACTAAGAATTATCATAAATGCCAAATTGGTGTTTGTTCTTAGGCCAATTTTAACATTGTCCTTTTTATCTTGACGATCTCCGTGGTTGCAGTGGTATGTACGCCGGGTACGAATCCCGGGTGGGGCAAATGTTTGTATGATTGATACAAGCATTTATACCTAAGTCATGAATTTTTATATGTATTTCTAGATACAAAAATTATATGTGCATCAGTATATAAAATATTCTATCCGTTATCTTATTATCCTATAACACACGCTATGCAATGCTTACTTTGGGGCTAGGCTGATTTATTTTTATTATATTATCAGCTGTAGATCGCTCATCAACACTTGCATCAGACGAATGCACCATGTGATCGGTGTGACGTCATTCGGAGTGGGCTGCGCTCTACCCAATCTGCCTGGCGTCTACACCAGGGTCTCCAGCTACCTCGACTGGATCGAAGGCATCGTCTGGAAATAAATAGATACAAAACATGACTATTTCTTTTTTTTTATTTACACCTTAACTTAAGAAGCGTTATTGAGAACTGCTACGACCGAGTGTTTGTATGCAGGCTCAAAATGAAATTCCAGTATTTCAAGAATTTAAAAAAATGCAACTATTGTGTATGGAATCCACAGTATAATAAAAAAATTAATGCTATTGAAAGAATTCAACACAAATATGTAAAGCACATATAAAACATTATTAACTTATTTAATAATGATTGTGAAACAAAGTTACAGGTTACATCCTTGCAACATCGCAGAACTGTTAGAGATCAATTATTTCTTTACAAACTTATTAATGACCTTGTAGATTTTCCGTTTCTGCTGCAGAGGATTGGTTTCCGTTGTCCTAATAGAACTAGGTCTGACAACACGTTTGTAATACAATTCAGCAGGACCAAGTTTGCTGCAAATAGTTTCATTTCTAGAGCATGTCACAGCTGTTATAAATACTTCAGGGGATTGGATATATTTTGCGTTTCTTACAATCAATTTAGAAATGAATGCTATAAGGTCGTTTTACCCTAACACTCAGTAATTATTTTCTTACCATAAATTTTGATTATCATGTTTATTCTATTCACTAGATTACGAAAAAACTGAGGAATTGGTTGCCACGGCCCTATAAATATAGATGCTAATGATTATATATACACATACGCACTACACACATATACACACACACATACGCACACGCACACACACACATTTATTATATTAATGTACTGTAATATTGATTAATGTAGTATTATGGTACTCATGTTATTTGTATGGCTACATTGCAAATAAAATTCGGGAAGAGCGCTGAAGCCAAAATACAGGATGAACTTCCTAGTTTGGCTGAGGATGTCTATATGTAGGTACTTTGTGTGAAATAATGGCCTTAGTATTAACATATTTATAAGATTATTACCATGTACAATTTTTACAAATAAAATTATTATTATTATTATTCACATAACTCTAAATATTGTACGTAACTTTAAGTAAATTATGTAAGTGTATGAATGTTTCAGTCTGTGGAAACTTAACTGGTTTATGGAAAAGTTATAAGTGTAACTTAATTGAATTGTGTAAAACTGTATGTTTCCCAAATGAAAATAAATAAATAGGAATACTCAAATAGTAACAAATATTAACCAAATTGATCTACGTCCCGCATACTCACCTCTGTCTAGGAAATCTATGAAAGCTATGTAGCAAGACTGCAATCAGCTAACGCGATATGAGGTTTTTTCTTCCATTCATTTCAATCAAAATATTGATATGCTAACCTCTTTTTCATTTGAAAACATACGTTGTGAAAACCAAACCTAGGTATACTGTAAAATGTACTAAAACAAAAATGTTTTATTAATAGGAGCTCGTTTCTTATCAGGCCTCCATGAATCGGTCTCAAGTGAAAAATATGCAGATTCTCTACGCGGCACGCCTCGATTATGCAAGCTCGCCGAAATATATGTGTCGTAAAAATAGAATAACAAATGAGAGTCGCGCCGCCCTTCTTCTGTGAGGGAGACCAAAGATTGTGTAAGAAACTCTGTTGAAAATACTTATGCTGCAATATTTTAACAGTGGCTGGATTTAAGTTGTTGTAAGGCAAATAGACTGATTTTTTGCTGACTTATCGCCTTCTTCCATGTTAATTGTGGGTGAAATAGTAGCATGCTTTGGGCCAACTGCAAATTTGTATTATGGTAAAGTACAGAAAGTTGTACTGAATTCTGGCTCACAAATGGGCGGTATCAATTTTTTTCTCTATTTTTCACAAATTCATAAAATTGCAATGATAGATTAATTGAAAGCGGGTTGTAGATATATTTAGATATATTTTGTAATGAGAAGATGTATATCCGGTATTTTCTCACTATATTTTTAATACCCACCGGCTGACTCAATTTAGCACTCTTTTCCCTGAGGAGGACTAAGAAAACTAAGAAAAAAACTTATCCATGTCACACGGATTCACAGCATGATTTTGTGATATTTTAATGTCAATTTATAGTCTGGTCAAATAAAAGACAAAAATAAGAGTGAAGGTGCATTTTACATCATGCTGCAAGTAAGTAAAATATTTTTTCCGGTAGAGGTACTTCAAAAAAAAATTACTTTCGGTCAAAGGTCAATAAAGTGTTTTTTTTCGGAATTTCCATCGAAATGGTAAGTTTTGACGTAAAATTACCTTAGACAAAAATTGTAGGCCATTAAATTATCTATAAAAGAGGTATCAGTTATTTTTCCTAAGAGCCACCGTTCTCGAGATATCACGATTTAAAAAGTTGTAAGCGTCATAATATGCATAAGTACTTCACGTATACATATACATCTCTGTAGCTGCAATATAAGTAAAAACATTTTTCGATCCGTAATTCAACTCCACAAGAAATTATCACCGTTGGAATTCGCTTTTTTCTACACATATGTACGGAGCTCTTAACAAAACTATCTCCTTAGATAAGTATCGATATGCAAGGTTTGTTAAAACACTCGAAATAAATAACTATTGCAATTAGCTTGTCTTCCTCCAACCTCAGTTGCTGCTCATAAACCTCCTTTTTAGGCTATTATATTACCAAGTTCAAGTGTGGCTTGGTTATCGGATAGACCCAAAAGACTGGGCTTTTAAGTTGGTCGTCAATACATTAGAACAAATTCAGACTTTACTCGTACCTGCGCCGGAAAAAACTCATTCTTATCGCTAAATTACATTTGGTCGTTAGCTCGTATTCAGGTGCACGAAAGACATTAATTGAATTCGGGCACCCGAAGCAATATTTACACGGGAATACGGGCTGGAAGACCGTGTTGGGTAAACAAACCGAAAACTACCCGAATTCGGGCTAACGGTCAAGTGTAATCGCGCCATAATTTTCATTCATCACATAAAAAATGTCGATCACTGGCTCCTGTCGGTCATTGGTGCCACTACTTACTAAGACAGTTAAATATCTTTTTGCAATGGGATTAATTGTAGGTAATATAGTTAGATAAAGCGTCATTAGCGAGCAAAGCCTTTCATAGTACGCCTACTCGCGTCCTATATAGCTCGTGCCGCTTTCAATCGCAAATCTTCAGTGGTGGGACGGGTGCGTTATCAAGACGATTAATTCAACGATTAATCTCCAAACAGATCGAAACAGGTTTCATTGCGATGCGATGTATCAATCGAGTTCCACCTACTATTTGAATAAGACGCGTAGAATCAGTTAATTATTATAAGTGCAGCATTTGAATCATTATAAAGGTGTCCATTCATATGCACCAAAACAATGAAACCATGGATGAATAAACCACAAATAATATTATTTTGCTTGGTGTTGATAAAAGGTAAGATATTTAATATTCAGGCTTAGTATATTTAATAACTCGTATTATCTATAAATGAAAATGGGTAAAATTTTATATTTGTTTTTCATTTCTATGAATTTTTTTTTTTATAAGTTTTAAATTACTTTTTGTTTATTTAATAATTATGGATGTGTGCTGCATTCCAGTTAACCATTATTTTGAATAATTTGTACTTATTATCCTATCGTAACTAATATGATAAATATGAAAGTGAGTTTGTTTATATGTTACTCAATCACGCATAAAGGCTGAACAGATTTAGGTGAAATTTGGCACATACAAAGTATTTCACCTGGATTGAGATATAGGTAGGGTTTCTGCTCGAGAAAACCCGGGCCTCGAGAAATCTCTAGGCACCAAATCAAAGTATTCGAGGTAGGTTATACCGCGGAAAATTGTCCGCGCTCACTGCGAGCAAGTTGTTTCACGCACACACTCCTTACAAATTACTCAAATTAGTCGAGTCACAAGAAGTAGTTACTTACTTAGCAATTATTTACAAATTACCTATTACAAATTAATTAGTAGAGCCTAATCATTTTGTTCAGAATAATTTACTTGATATTTCTAAAAGATTATGCCTACATGTAGCAAAATTTGTTGTTCTGGTACCCCCCTTAGTAATCTGTTTCCATTAATAATGTTTCTGTTATATTTGATGTGAATGATCTCAAAGTTAAAGCTAATAAATACTAATATTATATTATTATTAGAGCAATACTTGATACTAAAGTGCTCGATGGCGTAGGTGGTTAGCGCGTTCGGCTGCGATCGTTGTAGTTAAGCAACTTTCGCAGTGGTCGGTCATTGGATGGGTGACCAAAAATTTCTATCTCGAGTTCCTCCGTGCTTCGGAAGGCACGTTAAGCCGTTGGTCCCGGTTGCATCTGCACTCGTAGTACCCGCCAATCCGCACTGGGCCCGCGTGGTGGGTCATGGCCCAATCTCCCTATTCCATCCATAGGGAAGGCCTGTGCCCCAGCAGTGGGGACATTAATTGGCTGATGATGATGATGAAAGTCTTTTGTTTCTAGAGATTTTCAGTATTCCAAATTCTTCTAGTATTAAGATTTGATTATTACGTATTAGAAGCTTTTTATATTACTTTTTTTAAGTAAGTGCAGTTGGAGGCAATAAAAATTCGTTTCTTTCGTGATTATTTAGAGTTTAACTTATTTTTTTTTAAATTATGTCTTCTTTGAAATCCTCGAAAAGACTCGATAATTCGGCCCCGAGAATTCACATGCCTAGCGAACGAAAAAAGTGCGATAAATCAGAAACCATAGAAATAGGATACTTTATCCCGAAAAAAATTTAGGGTCCTGAGGGACTCTCAGAAAACTAAAGTACGGCTGCTAGTAGCTAGTATATAATAATGTGTTTATTTTATTTTTAAAGATGACAAACATTTATTTTACAGAATTCTTTATTTTATCAATTATTCGTTATATCTAGACTAGTATGGGTTTATTTTTGGAGTTAAGTTATTCACTGTTGCATTACAATTAAATGATTTGCCGCAGATTTTCTATTTCTTTTTGAATTTGAATTCGGATTTTTTTCTTTACAATATCATTATATCGGCATCATCATCATCATCATCATCAGCCTATTAATGTCCCCACTGCTGGGGCACAGTGCGGATTGGTGGGTGCTAACGACTGCAGATGCAGCCGGGACCAACGGCTTAACGTGCCTTCCGAAGCACGGAGGAGCTCGAGATAGTAATTTTTGGTCACCCATCCAATGACCGACCACTGCGAAAGTTGCTTAAGTTCAACGATCGCAGTCGAACGCGCTAACCACTTGCGCCATCGTGCTCCTCATCATTATCATTATATCGGCAACATTATTATTATTGATTCTATTATCTATTATATATCATCAGCCTGTTTTCCGCCAGCCTGTTTTATCGCAAGGTCGTCTTCTTGTGATTTTTTTAATGTGTGTGTGCGTATCCGTGATATTTTCCTGTCAGAATACATTATTAATGTTTACAAATACGTCACCTTTTTGTTTATCACGTTCTGGTTTTATTAACGACCTCCGTGGCCGATTGGTAAGTACGCCGCCGGGTTTCAAGGTGTCGTGAGCGACCCGGGTTCAAATCCCGGTGGGGTAAATGTTACTTTGATGAATACGAACATTTGTACATAAGTCATGGTTTATATGTATTTCTAATGAAAAATATACACATATATATCAGTATAAATGTTTTCTATACGTCACCCTAGTATCCCGTAATACAAGCCATACAGCTAGGCTAATTAGTGTGAGTGTTGGATTTTTTATTTTTATATAACATTATATTAATACTATTTCTTGTACTCCAGATGTAATATTTTCCATAGCTATATTTTATTCCTAAAAATAGATTAATCACTTTTTGTAATTTAAACTTAAGAGAATGGCATCATAAAATGAAGAACTAAACCATCATTGTAATTGTTATTGCAGCATTAATAATTACACATACCAACGGTTCACCAACGGAAACGGTGAGCGAAAAAACTATTTATTTAAAATGACAGAAAATAAGCACAATATTAGATGGTAATTCAGCACAACAGCTTAAAAATGCTTACGATGCCATAAGTATCAGTCATGCGTTGGCTACCCTGACCCCTTTTTATTTTAGGTAAATGCTTGTCGCATGCTTCGCCACTGTGAGAGACACGACACTGTACGGGGACGTAACCTACTGAGTCAGTTCTGAGACTAACTGAAGGGCTGCCTACTAACAACCTTACAGCACCCCTTTATCTGCCTAAATGTGTTTTTTGGAATCCGGAGACCTACCATATTACCCACGGCAGAGCTTACCCTTATCCGACAGTCGACCTCCGCGGCCACGTAGTATGTACTCCGGGTTTCCCGGTGGGGCAAATATTAATATGACGAATAGGAGCATTTGTTCCTAATTCGTAGATGTTTATAGGTATTTCTTGATAAATATACTTTAATATGTATCAGTATATGTATTCTGTCTGTTGCCTTAGTATCCCGTACAAGTCTGACAGTGCTTACTCCGGGGCGAGGATAATTGCCATGAGTGTTAGAAATATAAAAATATATACATTTGTCATAGTGAAAATAAGCAAATACTGGCCGGTCCTAGGATCGATAAGCTAAAATTTTTCGTTTGTCGGTAGACGTATTAAGCCGTTGGGTCCAGGCTACATCTGCAGTAGTTAGCACACACCAATTCGCACTAGGCTCGCGTAGTGGGTCATGGATCGTTTCATCTATTCTGTTTATAGGTACCTAAGTCCTGTTTCCCAGCAGTAGAGACATTAATAAGCTGGAAAAGAAAGAATGCTTATTATTTCTTCACCTTACCTCAGTTAATTAATAATACATAATCAGCATTTAATAAGCATCAAATTTTAATTAGAGCAGAAACTGTACAATGTCACATTTTTCTACAATAATCTGTTAGTATATGATGCAGGTCATGGCCCAATCTACCTTTTCCATTCATAGGGAAGGCCTGGCCAGAAATCAATATATCTTTATTCAAATTGGATGTATAGTAAAATTTTTTTGAATCGTCCAAAATTTTTTTTCCCTACCACTCGTTATGGACATATTTTTTAGCTGCGGAGAAAAACAAGCGAAAAAAAACTCCACAACATTAAAAGTTTAATGTAAAAACATTTACAAATCATTACGTTGTTACAACGTCAGTACAATTATGATTTATTTATTATAGAAAACCTGTTGGAATGATTGGAACAGTTCAAACCCAAGCATTTTTGTCTGTAATATAATCAGACACTTTGTAATAAGCTTTTTTATACTATCTTTAACTTTATTTATGGTTTACTCTTGGATATTGCTTGGGACTTTATTGTATAAGCGAACACAAAGACTTTAAATGAATTATTAATTTTGTGAAGCCTAGTAGCAGGTAAAGTTAGTTTATTTTTGTTTCTTGTATTAAGTGTGTGAACATCACTGTTTTTAAGAAACCAATTAATATTTTTTCTTACAAATATTAAATTTTCGTATATGTATTGTGATGCGACCGTCATTATTCCAAATTCTTTAAACTTATCTCTTAACGATTCTTTAATTTTAAGATTATAAATTGATCGAATAGCTCTCTTCTGCAGCACAAAAATAGTTTGAATGTCGGCGGCATTTCCCCACAATAAAATTCCGTACGACATTACACTATGGAAATAACTAAAGAACACTAATCTGGCCGTATCTACATCCGTTAAACTGGCGTATCTTTATTACGGCATATGCTGCAGAGCTAAGTCTATTTGACAATTTATCAATATGTGGGCCCCATAGAAGCTTAGAATCTAAAGTTATCCCTAAGAATACTGTGGTGTCTACAAGGCCCACATTCCTTTCCTTTACATTCACACTGGTTTTTACCTGTTTTACATTAGGTAACACAAATTTCATACATTTCTTTATTAAATGATGATGATGATGATATGATGCAGTAATTATATTTCAGGAAGATGACAGATGGATTTGGGGCTATACTACTATAGATAAACCAAATGTAAGCATAAGATAAAAGATTTATTATTTATTTTTTTTAAATTTTTTTAGAAGTACAATTTTACTGTTTTGAGATAAAAATAAACATAACTTTAACACTAACCACAGCTCAAGCGGGGATTTCGGGATTTACTCGAGTGGGGCAAAATAACATAAGAGAGGTAACCTTGCACCTTGTGAAATACTCTCACCATACATGCCCTTTATAAAAGGTCTAACGTTTAGGGCAGCAAACATTTTTTTTTAACAAACGGTCTTGACATTTGTCTACCTCCAAATCGTCAGTCTTTTGAATAACAGCTACTGGAGGGTTCACGTAACATCCCTTTTCAATGTCTGACACACTCGAATATATTTTTTCCGATATTCTACCCATTCGTACGGCCACGCCATGCTAATCGACAGACTAATATTTTTTCCGTCATCAAAGACGTTACATATCCCCCCAAAAGACGTTACATATTCTATTCAAAAGACTGACGATTTGGACGGGAACACAAGTCATGGCCGCTTGTTAATTTATTTGCTGGCCTAGTCGTTGGGCGCTACACAAAGGGCTCAGGTATGGTAGGAGTACTTCACAAGAAAATAAAAAACTGTGAAGCGTGAACTGGCATCGTAATTTAGATTCCCTATCATACCACACGTAACAATATAATTGAGAAGCTAGCGAACAAAACGGTATAATTACATCAAATTTAATTTTACATGAGCAGTAAAAAACTGAATGACATACCTACAGTTAACACTATTGTAGGCGGTTTTGATTGACATTTGCTGAAATTCCAATTCAGCTGACCCAAAGTCTCCGGGCTGTAAAAAAAAAGTAGTATATGGTCAAAACCGTAATGCGTAATTATACCGTTATGTTTGCAAGCTCCTCAATTATGATTCCGTGTAGAAATAGAATACCGTTTGATTTAATGTTTATTGAATTATTAATCAGGACAAACTTAGTGAAAGGATAAATACAGCACCTCGGAAGAACCCATGCCGTCCTCCACCGAAGGTTCCGGACTTCAGAGCGCCTGGTCGACGAATAAGCGACGTGAGTAAGTATCATTACAGTTTACAATATTTTTGTTGAATTTGACTTACATATATTATCTCCAACAAGAAACGGCTAATCTGATATAACTGATGGTAAAGGTGAAAATAGTTAGGTACTTAATGCGGCAGAAAATATTACAGCTCCAGACAACCTCCCCTTATCGACGTAAAACAAATTCTCTACCCCGTGAAGCCTTATTCTTAGACTTATGTATAACAACACTATATTACCGTTGTTTTACCTTAACAAGTTTCCTCCTTCTGTAAAGTAGAAGTTATTAAGCCAAAAGAGCGCTTCAAGAAATCCTCTTAGGCACTAAGCGGCCACCACCACGACTTAACTAAAGAAACCATATGAACAACTCGCACTTGGCCGCAACGGCCCACTGGCTACAACTCTTTGCTTGCTCTTTTTTTTGCGGATATTTTCTCCCTTAAGTCATATTAATAAAATTTAAAACGGTAGAAACATACGCACTAATTGAAACTGCCAACATTTTAGCAGCGATTGAGTGGAAAATTGCAATGTAATATTATAGAAGGATAGGAAAATGTCTTTGGAGATACTCATAGTCCATAACTGTGTTTATCTCTGGTTACAGAATGTCTTGAATACATATGGGATATCAAAGAGAGAGAGAATAAAGTGACAAGAGCGATCGCATGTAAGTTGAAGAATTGCTTATGATATTATTTAAATTTTATTTATGTCTAGAGTTGTTTTTCTATAAAATATATTAGAAGAAATGATTCCTACTCATATTCACATTCATCGAAAGCTCTTATTTGATCTGATATGAGTTGGAAACTTTCTTTACTTTCGATAAGATTATAATACAGAAAATTTCGACAACCTAAATAATATTTCCAATCCTTGGCAAACTAAATAAAATTGATATATAAACCCAAACATTTAACCATTAAGCCCTGGAAACAACTAAATATCACCAAAACTCGGTACGGAGGTTATTTCCCCAGAAAGGCGCTCCTATCCTGAAATCCGCTATATTTCGTAACTCCTACTCTAAAATCCACTATTTCCTTCCTCACTTTATAACTTGAAATTAATCATCTAATAGAAACGTAGCGATTCGTTTTTTTGTATACAATTATGACAAGGAGTAGGAATACGCTATGGGATGGATGGGAGAAACTTCCCTTCTCCCTAGAAATATGGTCCAAATGATGTTTACATCAACTCCTGTAATGACGACTGTTGATGAATGACAACAAATGTTGTTGGTGAATGATGCGAAGTTTTCTTCTTTGTGATTTCCGATCTGGCAAGGCACATATTCTTGTAATCTATACTTATAATAAATCTGTAGAGAGGTCAATTCTGTACATGAAATATATTTTCAAAATAACTATCAGGGGGTGATTAGTGATCGATACTGATGCCAAAAATACAATCAGTAAAATTTTTGTCTGTCTGTCTGTGTGTTTGTTCCTTATAGAAACAAAAACTACTCGAGAGATTTTAACGAAACTTGGTACAATTATTCTTCATACTCCTGGGCAGGTTATAGTATACTTTTCATCACGCTACAATCAATAGGAGCAGAGTAGTGAAGGGAAATATTGGAAAAACGGGAGAAGTTACTCCATTTTTTAAGCTTCCGTCGCGTGTGCAGCCTTAATGATTAAAGTTACATAGAAATCATGTATGACGGAAATATTCTACATAAAATTGTCTAAAAAATATCCCGCAACAGCATATGTCTATCTTTTATGGTTGACTCACAATAACACGTGTAACTCCCGATAGCTTAGCAGTTCGGAGCATTCTGATCATATTTGTTTACTCTTACGTTTATAATACTCGGTATAGAAACACCAAACTTATACATGAAATAAGCCATCGCGCCGTCGCACGTGAATACTGAATCATGCTATAAGGATTATTTTTGTGTAACGGTTGCCGCGCTCGACACGGGTCGCGGCAGCGGTAGGGTATCAAAGGTCCGAGAGCGAGCTGTCTAAATTTGTTTTCTGCGTCGCTCCCCCCCTGGGGGACGATCGCTTCCGATGAAGCCTTAGAGGCCTTACCGGCCAGAGGCAGCCCCTATGGGTATTTTTTAGTCAGTACGAGTCTGACATACCTTGCAGCCGGCTTTGGGTATCCATGAGGATTTCTCATCTGCTCCCCCGCTTGGGAGACCGAAACCGTGCTTATCAGCGCGACTTTTAGTCTTTAAATAGTTTATTTGAATATCTTTTGTTGTTATTTTGTAAAACAGGTATTAGTTGTTTTGGTAGTGTTTAAATATTCGTTCAAATTAAAAATTATTAAGCGTAGGTACTTTTATTAATTAAAGTAGTTATAAGTATTTATTTTTAAGTGAAGGAGGTATAGGTAGATAGTATTGCACAGGCGTTTCAGCTTTATTTTCATTTCTTTTTTGTTGTGAGTTGTATATATTTCTGGTTATAATTCTATAAGAATATTTTAGTTCAAATAGTCACTTAGATTTTATGTGTAAGGTAGCTAAAGTTAGGACCACGTATTAGTTGTTTTGGTAGTGTTTAAATATTCGTTCAAAGTGTAATTTAATCATATAGGATGAATGTACGATGGCCCATCGAAAAGGAGTAGAAGCGGTAGACAGAACTTTAAGAGATATAAGACAAAATGATCGACCCATGGGCGGTATCACAGTTTTATTTTGTGGTGATTTCCGACAAACCTTAACGGTAATACCACGGGGAACCCGAGCTGCTGAGGTTAGGGCTTGCCTGAAAAGCTTTTATTTGTGGCGTGATATACAATCGGTGCATTTGACTATAAACATGCGAGTGAGAACTGTAGATAACCCGGATGATCGTGAATTTTCTGATATATTATTAAAGAAAATACCTTCACCAAAGATACCTATCCACTGCTACACCAAGGAAAACTTATTCTGACGCCTGAGTTATGTTGTATAGTGCAATCCCAACAACATCTTACATCGTCAGTTTACGGTGACGTAACAAATATATTAAATAAGAACAATTCTTGGCTATGCGAAAGGTCCATTTTAACTCCTCCCAATGACCAGGCATCTGAGATTAATAATAAAATACTGTCGAATATCCAGGGGGAAAGCAAAGTTTATAGTTCAATAAATAGAATGGCCGATGAACAAGAAGCCACTAATTACCCGATAGAATTTTTAAATTCTTTAAATATGCCCGTACTTCCTTCTCATGAAATTTGTTTGAAAATTGGCATTCCGATTATTCTGCTCCGAAATTTAAGACCACCACAAATTTGCAATGGAACTCGGCTTAAAGTAACCCAGTTGCAACAAAATGTAATCGAGGCTCAAATTTTAATAGGTTGCGGTGCAGGAGAAACCATCTTTATTCCCAGAATTCCCATAATACCAAATAATTTTCCATTCCAATTTAAAAGAACGCAATTCCCAGTATCGGTGTGTTATGCAATGACAATAATAAGGCTCAAGGGCAGGCCTTTCGTGTTGTTGGAGTAGATCTCGGTGTCAGTTGTTTTTCACATGGTCAGTTATGTCGGTCTTTCCCGGGTTAGCAATCCTAGAATTTTTTATGTTCACGTTCCGGACGGGTCAAATTTCAACGTTGTCTACCCGGAAGCTTTGCGCTGAAGTATTTTCATTCTATATGTACTTAAGACTCATGTGAAAGCGATCTAAACAATATTACCAATACATTAACATAATAACATACAAGGAGTTACACGCTGATGGTCTCGGGGCACAGTGATAATAATAATATTCTGCGGTTCCTTATTGCGATATTTTTAACAGTATTATATTTCCCTACTAAAATACGAAAGTTAATCTGTTTGTCACATCAAAACCACGGAACCCTGAGGAAGGACATATGCTACTTTTTTACGAAAAACGACGATAACGTGGACGAAGTCGCGGGCAAAAGCTAGTTAAGAAATAAACAAAATGTGTCACATATTTAGGTCCATATCCATAGTGATTACTTTTCTTAGTGATTGCTCGTCTATTCTTTCAACTACTTGTTTAGAATTTCGAGGAATAAAATTATATTAAAGACCATATTAAAACTAAATTTATGGTCTCTCAGTTAATCCAAGCAAATCACAGGCAATCATCATAGGGAGTAGGTATATGTCTAACTCCTGCCATTCCTTTCACTTGCCGCCAGTATCCATAGGTGGAATCAATATCCCTTATAGTGATACGGTGAAAAATCTCGGTGTCACAATTGATTCCAACCTCTCATGGGCAGCTCACGTCGCTAACGTTAGTCGTAAAATGTATTTTTCTCTTCACACATTAAAATGTTTGCAAAATTTCCTTCCCTTACATACTAAAATTGCCCTTGCACAATCTCTTATTCTTCCACTTCTCGACTATGCCGATACTTGTTATTTAGACGCTACGGAGGTATTACTTAATAAACTTGAGCGCCTGCAGAATCTTGCTATCCGATTTATCTTTGGGCTTCGTAAGTATGATCACGTCTCCAACTTTGGAAAGGACCTCAAGTGGCTCCCCATACGTCTGCACAGGAATGTCAGAATTCTTTGTCTCCTCTTCAATATCCTATATAATCCTTCATATCCTTCCTATCTTCGGGAGCGGTTTTCTTTCACCCACTCGCCTAATGTTCCTTGCAGGTCCCATCTCAAATCACTACTCAAATGTCCTGTGCATAAAACCCAATTTGCATCATGCTCCTTTACGCTACATGCCGTCCGCTTGTGGAACTCGCTGCCAGCAGGAATCAGAGACAGCCCAACTGTTGCTACATTCAAAAAACCGGCCAAGTGCGAGTCGGACTCGCGCACCGAGGGTTCCGTACAAACCTGCAAGGTTTACAAAGTTCGTTCATTACGACAATCGAGTCATAACTATGGTATTTTTATTGCAAAATGAAATTCATAACATTACAATGGGGAAAGATGGAGGAGCATAAATTTAAGACAAAGATCTCTTTATCGTTTAAGTAATCCTTTATTTTATATTAACACATATCATTTATCTATAATATAACTGAAACACTTATACTAGCCTTGCAGCAGACTTGCGAAAGTTCTTTTATTAAAGTTATTTATTACTAAGTTTTTTAGTCACTATTTAGAAATCTGGTTCAAAAATATTAATTAAGTATTATAATAATGTCATTGAATTTAATTATAAGTATAACACTTTAAGCAGTTAGGACGCATTTAGATTATACAGCTACATTTACCAAAACATCGGGATTGAATGACGATGAGTGAGGTCGTCTTTGCCGTTTGAAAAATGTTGCCCCCCCCATACATAGTATAATAACTCGCGGTCATTGCTGTAACTACAATTATGTTTACAATCACAATTTTTTTGGTGGTATAACTACTTAAAATTTTAAGCTTTTCGGAATTTTTCTGTTACCTGTGCTGTAAGCTATTGCTTCTTACCAAATTTCGAGATTCTATGTCAACGGGAAGTGGTCTTTAGGTTTTAATTCCCTTGCGTGTAGTTGCGAGTTTCAAAATATGCGGTATCAATGGTTGTACTTTTGCGTTTTGCGTTTTTGCGTTGACTTAGATTTTTTTTTTTCACGGGTTAAAGGCAATTAGATCTAAGTATTTGATATGAATTTCAACTTGATAGCTCTACGCATTCATGAGGAAAAAGGTAATAAGTTTATATTTATTAAAAAATATATATTTTGTAATGTAACTAAAAATTTAAGGTTTTCGGAATTTTTCCTTTATGTGTGCTATAAAATGTTGCTTCATGCCAAATTTCAAGATTCTAGGTCGACTGGAAGTACCCTTTAGGTTTTGATTCCCTTGCGAGTACTTGCGAGTTTCAAAATATGCAGCTTAAATTGCTGTTTCTTTTGATTGCGTTGACATAGAAGTTTGATTTTGTTACAGCTTAAAGGTATTATAGACCTGAGTATTTGGTATGAATTTCAATTATATACCTCTACGCGTTTATGAGGAAATGGGTAGTAAGGTTAAAATTATTAAAAAAAATATATATTATGTAATGTAACTAAAAATTTATGGTTTTCGTAATTTTTCCTTTATCTATGCTATAAGACGTTGCTTGGTACCAAATTTCAAGATTCTGAGTTCACGGGAAGCACCCTGTAGGTTTTGATTCCCTTGCAAGTGTCGAAAATTTGCGGCATAAACGGCTGTATCTTTTGATTGCGTTGGCTTAGAAGTTTGATTTTTTCACAGCTTCAAGGGACAGTAGACCTGAGTAATTGATATAAATTTCAGCTTCATACCTCCACGCGTTCCTGAGAAAAAGGGTCTTGACAGACGGACGGACGGACAGACGGACAACAAAGTGATCCTATAAGGGTTCCGTTTTTCCTTTTGAGGTACGGAACCCTAAAAACGGTTGAAGGAACACTATCTATCCTCTTGAATCACTGTTTCTGAACTCTATTGCTTCTCCTTTTTAACACTTACATATTTTATTTAAGTATATATGTTTATTTATACATCTATATAGATATATATGTAGGTTTTGTTTATGTAAGTATTGTATTTTGTTATTTATATTCAGGAGGCACACACTGACGGCTTTTTTTTTATGTTCTTTCCTTTCGCGGGCCTGCTGGAAGAAATTTCAATATGAAATAAGCAGTGCCCTTGTACAAATTTCTTGTTCTTGATCTATTTATCTGTTTTATTGTGTGTGTATTAAATTAGTAAATAAATAAATAATGCTTAACTTAAAAAACCGACGGCTGACATCTATCAATTCGATAATTTCAAAATTTCCAGGTACTGATTATCTCAATTCTATAAATAAAACGCTCATTTACGGTAGCAGCGCTGGTGGTGTAGGTGGTCGCATTACAGAACCAGGAGAGTTCCCTCATATGGTAAGTACTCCAGCAATATAAAACACTCCTACTTTCTCAATATAACATCATTGCCTTCTTATATATAATATTTAAATCAATTCTACAATAATTCATTTATTGTAGAGCATAGGTACAATAATGGGGTGTTACATCAGTACATACAGTTCAGCTATGTCCTGCCATAAGGCATACAATTACACAATAACATTAGATGTCTCAATTTAAATTAATATTATCATAAATGTCAATTAAGTTTATTTCCATATCTATTTATTCACTTCATATAACTTGTCAATAACAAGTCTATGTCTCAATATTATACTCGTATATATAAAAAAAATGTCAAGTGGTACCCAGAATGTCATTGTTAAATTTCTTTGTCAGATAAAAATTCCTTAATTGTGTAGTAGCATTTGTCAACTAAGAAATTCTTTAACATATGCTTGAAACTGAGGACATTCTCATAACTTCTTATTGGACCAGGAATTTTATTATATACACAAAGGGCGTTACAGAACACACTCTGATTCATAAGTGCAGTATTCGAAGGAACCATGCGGAATTTATCCCTATGGCATGCACTTGATAAGACCTTAAACATATCTGTGTTATTTTTAACAAATAGAGCGCAATCCAGAATGTACAGACATGGAAGTGTGAGTACCCTATACTTTTTAAAATACGGTTTGCACGAGTCGGTCATGCATAAATTAAACATTGACCTAATACAACGTTTTTGGCATTTAAAAACGATTTCTTTGTCAGTTGCTTTACCCCAAAACATTACTCCATATCTCGCACAGATTTCCAGATCCAACGTACCCATGATAAGCAGACAGTACAGCATCTGAATCTACAACTTTACTTAATTGGTACAACGCATAAGAATGACTAGACAACTTATTACATAGCTGTTCAATATGGCTTTTCCATTTTAAGTTACTGTCGATATATAAACCTAGAAATTTGTTTGTACTTGTTCCACAGATTTGTTTAGCAGAGTAGTTCATATTTAGATTCACTGCATCAGTCCTTTCTCATTATACTTGTTTTGTCTATGTTAACCTTTAAATTTATAATAAAATGTTGATACAGTAGCACCACGTTTTTGTCGTATAGTCTACCCAGTAACACTATTAATCCTAAGGATCTACCTAGTAACGCAGAACTTTTAATATTAACGCATATCAGCGGATGGCATGAACTTCATTTAGCAGAAAATTATTTGGCATTTACTCATTTAACAGACATTCAAACGCATAATTTTGTCAGCCAGAATCAGCTTTAAGAATAAATTTAATATTTACAATAATGATTATGCAGAACTATCATATCGCAGAAAGTTCACAGTCAGAATCGTCTTTCGGCATACAAACATTATTTTTTTCTTGTTTATTTATGTATTATCTATGGTGACTGGTACTTCGCCGACCGCTGCCGCGGCACTCTCGCTCCGCTCGCTCGGCTCGCGTTAAGATTAGGTCAAAACACTAACCTAACCAAACCCACTGATCACTAATACCGATTATTCTGAGCGCAATTATGCAGAAAATAATTTTGCCAACGGTAAATATATTTAAATTATACTTAATAAAATTCTGCCATGTTAAAAGTATGCTACTGTGAATTCTAACAAATAAACATTCGACCGATTATTATACTTAATAAAAAATATGGCTTACAAATATTCGTTTATAGAAGATTATGGCAAGTGTGTTATGCCAAATGAATTTCGGAGCAACAAAATTATGGCAGATGGAGGGAACCCTAATCCTATTGATAAAACAGAACGGAAAAAGTTCCCTTTGGCTTTACTTTGTAGTCTTCTTCCATATAACTATATGGAATAGCTCACCCTTTTAATTTATCTGGTATCGTGTCAGGGCGCCATTGGCTGGAAATCCTCGTTTGGAAAGTGGGTGTTCAAGTGTGGAGGTTCTCTAATCAGCAAAACGTATGTATTGACCGCGGCGCACTGCTCTAAGGCTTCTGCAAGTGACACCACCGTCGCCGACGTTGATCCCAAGATTGTGAGGTTGGCCGACAAAAACATACTGGTGAGGGTTGTCGATAAAAAAAAAACACTAAGTCAACAACTAAAAAACAAGTTAACGAAACATTATAATAAATTTTGATATTTATCATTATATCAGCATTCTGAAAGTAGAACCCACATAATACGCGATATATGACACAATCAATGTAGGTAAATCAAAGTAACAGAAGAATTAACAAATTGACCATAAAAGCCTCAAGAGGAGCTATTTTTCATTCCTCATCACAAAAGAGAGTAAACAATTTGGCATTAAACAAGAACATTGAAATATTCCTCTTTACAGGTAGAAAGAAAAAATACTTATCCGGTGACGCGCCCAGACCGCTCACCCCGCGGGCCCCTCTAACGGCCACTTCAAATTACACAAAATTACAACGCGCTAGCGTTGGGTATTGTTTACAAAAACACGTTATTTATGACTCTAGATAAGCGGGAATGAGCGTTCAATGGTGTTTTTTAAAAGGGAATGAATGAATCTTTGTTTCTGTCCAAGTCCTGATAAGATTTATAGTTTCTTGTAATAAATAATCGGCACTAAAGTAGGAAGCGAGTGAATTTTGACACATTGCTTCATTAAAATACGTGTATTTCAAAATTTAAAGAGATAACCTATAACTTTTAGACTTTTAAATGCATTATGAACATATTCTTAAGCAATATTTATAAAAAACACACATAGTCTTGGAGAAAAAGAAATGTTTTGGGGTCTTCAAAGTTCTATAAAAAGTTAAAGAGTATGAAATTTTTTATTGCTCAATTTAAAAAAAATATTTATCAATGAACTTGGCACTTACGACTGAAATATTGATATCGGCATTAAAAGTATTAAGTACTCACTAAAAGTATTATAAAAGTACTATTAAAAGTATTAAGTAGTAATATTAAAATATTTATTGAAAACAATTGACGAAATGAGTCAACATGAAACAACAGACCAGATGACGCTTACGGAAACTATCGAAATATATACTAAAATATTGACTTACCCCTTTTAAAATGAATTCCATTAATTACGTATAGAACTATTTGTTGAATAAAAACACAAAATAAAGCAAACACAACACTTTTTAATTCATTTAACACAAAATAAAAACAACGCACCTCACTCACGTACGTCGTCTTGAGACGACACGAAGCCGAGACTGGCCGACAGATGTCAACGGTTTTTTGTTTATTTGGTCGATGAATACGAATGCTGCTACAGTTGAAAGAGGTCGGGAATATAATACAGAATTATTAAGAAGTCAAGACAAGCCATTTTAAATTGTATTTCATAAGCAGGAAGAACTTTTAGAACGCACGGTCGTTTGGGTATTCCTCTACCCAACCTCGTTTTACTTCATTTTAGATTTGGGCAAAAAAGTCCCCATAGACGTCTAGGCTGTTATTGTTATTATTTATCGTCACGTTCTTTCTCCTCCTATTCTACTTAAAGCGTCCGCTTTTGGACGTAAGATTTTCTCCATTTTATTCATGTCTTCCTCTCTGTCTCAACCTGCTTCCAATAGCGTGATTCCAGGATAATGTCTGATGTCCACTATTTGGCATAGTGGCAAACGTTCACAAGTGAATTCTCGGACAAACGAAATTGGCATTCGATCACATTTCTATACCCGCGGTATATATTCTGTACCCATGAGCGGGATATAATCTAAGTCAGAATGGATTGAGAAACCATCCTGACTTAGATTATATCCCGCTCATTTTCATACCGTGATGTGATACACATTCCACTTAATTGATGATTTCGTAAAATAAATTTACTATTTTTATAATCAAACACTATTTCACAGGAAAAGGATGAGCAAGGAGTCAATCCAGCTCATTTTGACAAGAAAATTTTAAGAATTATAAATCACCCGGACTACCGACCACCGAAGAAATATAATGACATAGCCCTCATAGAATTGGAACCGGGATTGTTCATTACTAGTTTTATACAACCAGCCTGCCTATTAGCCATTTCTGACGATCGGCTGGTGGGTTCGAAGGCTGTTATGACAGGATGGGGCGTAGTCGAAACAGGTAAACGACGTACCATTTCGTGTATCAATGTCGCACTTCCTTGAATTATAATTAGAACACTCACATGCGATATGGTCGCAATATTCAAAAATTTGCTAACTAATAGGTATAACTAGTTCGTTGATTACTCGGGAATCGATTCTCGGTAAGACACCTGATTTTTATGAAACAATTTTGTTCCCTGTATTTTGTCCCTTTTTTATTCCATAAGCCGACCGGTGCTTTATTATGGGTCGATAATATTACATGCGTTAAGTTCCAAAAACAAGTTAAAATATAAGAGTCAAGATGAAATTATATGAAAGGAACGATATAGAAAAAGAAAGATATAGAAATGCAGTGAGATGTAGCAAAAGCTTCATAAAGTAGAATAGAAAGGAGACTAAAAGTTTATTATCACAAGTTCTTTCGCGCTTTATAGGCTTGCACAACTGTCAATGATGGATTTAAAGTGTTCACTATGGTTTCCAGTGAACCACACGACGTCTCCTGAGCTGCAAGCTGTAACGCTGGACGTCCTCGACAATAATTTGTGCGACAACCTGCTGCGGCCGTCCTGCAACCGGCACTGGTGTGGCCTGCAGGAACACCAGATGTGCGCGGGAGTGTTAGCGGGCGGCGCAGACGCTTGCCAAGTGTGTGATTAATAAACAGCTCGTTATAAATGGTGTCATGCCGTCTCTACATTTGTTGAATAGGCGTGAACACAAATGTGGACGGTTTCCGCGGCTTCAGAGATCGAAGTCATCACCACTGATGTGAATTCACGGCGCGAATTCACGCTATTCACTGCACTAGTGTGGAGCCGGTAAGGACTCATCACCACTGATTTGAAATAATGGCGCGAACTCGCGCCGTAATACCAGTGGGCAATACCAGTAGGTGTTGAGCCGATATAAGAGTCTTACCCTCTTGTTGCATCAACATACCTCACACTGCAAAAGCCTAGTAAATGAACGGCACGTCGGTGACTTCCCCGCGGTCAAATGGCCGCCACTTAGAAAACCACTAGAGCCTCTCGCCATTTTTCGACCTAATCTCAAGCCTAAATAATCTCACGTCCCTAGCCCTTGTGATGCTGTAAGTCTGCGATTACATTAGATCATGGCGAAAATAATAGGGGCTGTGCTAATACATTATGATCTCTGTTAATTAAATACAAATGAACTGAATTGCTTACACACAATTGGTTTTCAGGGCGATTCGGGAGGTCCTTTGCAGATAGAATTTCCCCTTATACAAAAAAAGAAGTGAGTACCCAAAAAAGTATTACCTTAATTACATATCTACTGCATAGAAAAAAATATTATTGTGTCTTAAGCATTGATTATGCGTGAATATGACATTCAATCCATATTAAATTCACAAAAAAAGTGAAAAAGTCCAACACTATGTGCAATTTTAAGTTAAATGTACTTTAGTGTAAACTAATTTCTGTGAATTCTTTACTTTTTTCTTCTCGGTATCGATTAATCAAAGCTTCGGCTTACTTTCACTTGAATAAACGTTCCTCGAAAGATTGGGCAATCGATGAATTATAATACTTTTGACAATAAATCTAAAGGTGAAGTAACTTATGACATTTTTATGTTATCAGCTGTACATCGCTCCCTGGCTATTGCAAAAGACGAATGCACGTTGTGATTGGTGTGACGTCTTTCGGAGTGGGTTGCGCTCTACCCAACCTGCCTGGAGTCTACACCAGGGTCTTCAGCTACCTCGACTGGATCGAAAGCATCGTCTGGAAATAAATAGATACATAATGTGGCTGTTTCTTTGTCTCCTTTTTGATTGACCGTTTTGTCGTGGCAAATTCTAAGTTCTTACAATTAGGTACATTAATAAACGAATTTCTTTAGAGAGATAAAAAGTGGTATTCCTCTTGTGGGGCATCGAAGTTGCCTCAATGCATCTTGTTACATTATTATTAAGATACATGGCCCGGCACAACCGCAGCATCATATATAAGAATAAGCGTGAACTAAATCCAGATCAAGCATGCGAGTCATTTAATGGGCTATTACTCTAATCTAATCATCATCAGCTGCATAATTATGTCCCCCCACTAGGCAAAGAATGGGCCTATTCAAGGAATAAGGAGAATGGTCCATTACCTTGTCCATGATCCTCTACGCGGCGAATTGATGAGAGCTAATGACTGCATATGCTTTAGCTGACGCTTCCAATGGATTTTCTTTCTGCAATATATAAGAAAACAGCATTGATTGGCCTACCTCTTTGGATTTTTGTATGTTTTAATGGTGGCAAACAAATATATGGCTCGCCTGGGTCGTAATCGGCTATCATAGGGACGCTTACGATACCAAAACTATTTCTCAAGCCTACCTTAGTGTCCTGGCACCTTACTCACCTACAGAAACACAACACCGCTAAAAAGGTGTTATTTTGCCTGTGATCTTCTTTACAGTGGAGGTTACTTTCGCAGACGGGCGCATACATAATTGGAATGTGAGGATAGGTGTAGGTAATGAATGAATGGTTTAATTTAAGTCCAAACTAAATTAGACAAAAAATATAGGCATTGTTTTTGTAGTAAATTTCAAATTGATATATGATTGAAAATGAGTGCATTTTTCGATAATAGTCAGTTTGGCGAAATTTTAAAGTATAGTTAACAGTTTAATATTATATTTGATAAATAAATGAAAAAAAAGACGACAGAGAAAATCTGCTATACCCTACCTCTCTTAAATAAATTAATTTTCAGAACATATATCGTGGAAACCTAAATTAGATAAAAATATGGGCATTGTTTTTGTAGTAAATTTCAAATTGATATATGATTAAAAATGAGTCCATTATTCGCCAATAATCAGTTTGGCGAAATTATAAAGTATGATTAACGGTCTAAAATTAAATTTGATAAATAAATAAAAAAAAACGACAAAGAAATTCTGCTATACCCTCCTCTCTTAAATAAATTAATTTTCAGAACATACATCGTGGAAACCAAACCTAGGTGCGCTGTAAAATGTACTTAATCAACCACTACAAGGTTCACGTAACATCCCTTCTCAATGTCTGACGCGCTTGAATATGTTTTCCTATTTCCTATCCCTTTGTACGGCCACCCCGAGACCATGCAAACCGGTACATTAATATTTTTTCGTAATCAGAAACGTAACGTGAACCCTCCAGTAGTTTCTATTCTAAAGACTGACGAATTAGACGCGAATTAAAGACATGGCCGTTAGTTGAAAAAAAAAAATTCCTGCTCTAGACGAGGATTGACGTCACCTCCTAAGATTCTAAAATTTACTTTAAATATGCTATTTGTTATTTTCTTTCCTATATCAAAGAAGTTCCTGTTAGTGAGACGGCAAACATGAAAAGCGAAGGTTCAACACAGGTGAACTCTTTCAACAAATTCTCCAAATTAATCTACTTGCGGACGCGCGACGTTGAGTAAGCTTACAGCAAAGCTCCTAATCAAAACTGAATCAAAATTCAAATCGAGGCTTCTAAGAATGTTGACTTGATATAAGCGTCGACGCGCGGTCACACCCGGAATTTGACAGTTCTTAGACATTAGTAACGTCGTTACACGGTAAATGTCGCGATGACTATTGCAACAGCCCTCAGAAAAAGTAATAAAAAGGAGCCGGAATTAATCATTTTACAAAATGTTATAAAAACCTATCACAATTCGATAGTGTGATTAACTCAGATTACAAGAATCGCCGTGCTGTAACGATAGAACTTTATATAGTAAGATCCCATGACTCCCAGACCTTACATATTTTCTCATTACCAAAATATGGATAATAGAGTCCTCATAATGTAAGTAAGGTGAGTAAAATTTTTACGTGCTTGTGTCACCTGATACCAAAAAACTTGCCCACAGATATTCAAATGATTGAATATCGAATAAAAAGTAATCGTGATAGGAAAAATAGGGGAAAAGTGGGAGAGTGGTCTCGAAAGCACCCGTACTGTCACACTCCGTGACTAACTTTGAAAAGGACCAGACTCTGTATTATTATATTGCCCCGCATTTATATCCCTTATAAAATCCCTAATAAAACAGGATCTTCATATAATGGTGAACAATATAATTTCTGGCACATTTCCAAGTTTCGTATACAACTACAACAGAAAGCCTCGTAATAAGGTAAAGTACAAAAAGTTAACTAAATTCTGGCTTAAAAATGGTCGGTAACAAAATATGTTCAGTGACTTAATATTTTGTCTACTATTTTACAAATAAAAAATAAACGCACTTTGCGATGTTATGCGGTCTTTCTATTCTGGTTTTTAGGGTTCCGTACGTCATTCGGTGCAAAGGCGGAACCGATATAGGATCACTCGGTTGTCTGTCTGTCTTTCTGTATGTCATAGTCGATTTGTCCAAAATGCCGATGAAGTTGAAATTTAGCACACACACTCACATAGTATGTGACTGTGTGCGCCCCAACACGGACGAATAAAGTAAATAAATAAATTCCGAATGTGGGGGTTACTTTTAGTGGGAGTTTAGGGTATTATACATCAAATTAAAAGGTGATGTGAAGATGATGGCAATGTGAAGATTTTGAACCATTTTTTTTAACAAATGCAAAATGAGTAGTTTAAGAATTATTTAAGAAAATTTATGAAAATTGACCTACCTTCTTATGGCAAACATAAAAGCTGCGTTGAATATCTTCTAGTATTTCTTAGGCTTTAAAGCAGCGCCAGCTATTCGCTTTGTAGGTAACCTACAATGTCAAACGAAAAACCTTTTAAAGTATTAAACATTTGAAAGAAGAAATATCAATTGTAGTTCATGATGTCTTTATTTTTAAGCATTTTACTACAAGATATTTAAATTAAAAGAAAAATGTCAGCTGCCTGGACCGCGTGGAATTTTATTGTATTAATTTTTTATTTTTATATAACCTTAAAGCATTTAAATGCTTAAAAATTTAAATATTAATAACTTTTGCATTTTAAAAAGGAATATTCAGAATGCATTAAATACATAGGTAACCTCTATCTAGTGAAATCTGTGACTACTGACTGCTGAGCGTTCCATATTAAAGATTATGTATCTCCATGTAGCTTATCTTTTAGATTCCAGCACGATCGCTCTTTTAAAATATAAAAGTTTTCGCGTCACTTAAAATGAAAAATGCATGTGATTTATAGGGTATATCTGTTATTTCATAAAGAACATAATACACTCTATAGCCCCTTGCCTTGCTGATATTTTTAATATGTATAGATCAGGGGGTGTTTCCTGATCTTATGAAATTCAGTAAAGTTATACCTTTATTTAAATCCAGTAACAGTAAAGATCCGAGCAACTATAGGCCCATATCTGTATTACCAGTACTAAGTAAAATAATGTTGGCACAACTGTTGGATCGTTTTAATATAAATAAACTTTTTCATAGTGCACAGTACGGTTTTACTAAAAACCGTTCTACAACTGATGCTGGTGCCACTTTGTTTAAATGTATATTTGATGATTAGAAAAATTGCAGAATGCTCTTGGAATAGTCTGCGATTTATCTTCAGCTTTTGATTGCGTAGATCATCAAACTTTGTTACGTAAATTTAATTATAACGGCATAAAAGATACGGCACAAACGCTGATGCAATCATATGTAACTACTAAAACTCAGATAGTTGACAAAAACGGTATAAAATCAGGCGTTCCTCAGGGTTCTATTTTAAGTCCATTCCTTTTTTTATATAAATTAAAGATTTACCTTTCTTTGTACAAAGTACTCTGACATTATATTGTTCCCAGGTGATTTTTTGCTTATTTTTAACATTGACAGGTGGTAAACTAATTATGATGATGTAAACAATACACTGACTCGGGTACTTAAGAGGTTTACGATTAATAATATTAAACTTAATGCAAGAAAAGCTAACTGTGTCAAATTCTCTTTATCGAATGTAAAGCAAACCGAAATGTGGGATATAATTCTTAATGGTGATAAACTAAAATTAGTCGAGACAATCGTTTTGCTAGGCACACATTACAGCACTGGCGGGTAAACTTACTTCTGCTGTTTATGCCATCTGTAAAATAAGACAGTTTACAGATTTAGACACTGCTAGGACTAGTATACTTTAGCTTCTTTCATTGCATTATGCCGAATGGCATTCTATTGTGGGGTGCGGCCGCTAACATTAAGACAGATTTAATCTTCAAAAACGAGCTATAAGAGCTATTTTTCGGTTGGGATCACGAACTTCACTTAGGGATAAATTAAAAGAAACAGATATAATTACTATTGCCTCGCAATACATTTACAATTGTAGTTTGCTGAGTTTCTTGCCGGTTCTTCGCAGTAAAAGGTCTCCCGCCGTAGTTTTGCGAACCGATGGCGTAGTTTACGACTTTCACATAGGCTTGTAAAAGTCAAAATTAAATAAATAATTTTTGCATTTGATTTTTTTTTAATTTATATTGTTTGTACATCAGAACATTAATTTATATACGAGGCGCGATGACGTACATAATTTCAATACTAGAAATAAAAATAAAATTTAATTGCCACGATTTAGACTCTAAATGCCCTTGCTGAGTTTCTTGCCGGTTCTTCTTGGAAGAAGGTCTACCGCCGTAAACCGATGGCACAGAGTTGACGTTCACAAGAACTTATAACAGCCTAGACTGAATAAATAATTTTGAGTTTGAGTTTAAAAGGGCGACATTGAAACGCCAATCAAAAAACTCTCGTTGTCCGTCCAACTGACGGCCTCCGTGGCCGAGTTTCAAGAAGTTGCCTACTCAGAGGTCCTGGGTTCGAATCCCGGTGGGGCAAATGTTAGTGTGATGAATAGGAATATCTGTATCTAAACCATGGGTGTTTATGTATCTTTCTATATAAATATACTTATAGTGTATGTATTCTATCCGTTACCCTAGTATCCCACAAGCCTCGTGCTTACTTTGGGCAAAGAAAATATACTGCTTTGGGCCGTAATTGGTGTTAGTGTTGGCAATATTTATTATTATTAACCTTACATCTATCATAATGCTGTATTTCATGAACTAATGAGACAGCTGGTGATATTTTCAGTGTGTATTTGCTGTTGCCCTTAAAACAACTTGATAATAAAACTAAAATATATTTGAGAAACATTATTTTCGACAATGTTTACTTAAACTAACATTGCTGTATTTCAAACTTTATTATTCATTGTATGAAGGTACAGAATCCTTCATGAACAATAGTAATAATTTATATGCCAGAAATATGGTAAATAAATAAACATGACTTATAATGTGCGATATCTTATTTGCACAGTTTTTAATTAATTATAATTAAGAAAATCCGCCTCTTTCTTAATTATTAACTTAAAACTTTCTTTTGATCTTTACTTAATATTTCATCTTTACAAGAGAAGTTCGATGACGCAAGTGGTTAGCTCGTTCGGCTGCTATTGTTGAAGGTCTGCAACTTTCGCAGCGGTAGTTCATTGGATGGGTGACCAAATATTGACACTCTCGAGCTCCTCCATGCTTCGGAAGGTACGTCAAGCCGTTAGTCCCGACTGCATCTGCAGTCATTAGCACCCACCAAACCGCACTGGTCCCGCGTGGCAGGTTACGGCTTAGTCTCCCGATTTCATCCATATGGTAGGTTTGTGCCACAGTAGTGGGGACATAAATAGGTTGCCGTTGAAGAATCTTTACAATTCAGTTACATTGTCAATAGAAATAGTGATAGTGATATCATTTTTATCAACAGGCTTAAACGATGCTGTGCATCACCAGTTTAAATACCTCGAAATAGAAATTAAATCACTCACTTATTCATTAATTACTATTAATGAATAAGTATATACTAAAAGCAAATAAAATATTGAAACGAGTTCCATGATCTCCGAAACTGACATTACGAAAAGACATTAAGATCCACTTGCAGAAAATGTTCAAAATCTCAATTTTACTAAAAGTAGATACAGCCCATGCAAAAATATTGGATTTGTAATTTTTTTATGGGATAGATATTGTTTTAATTGAATCGAAATTTAAGTATATTTGCTGTAAGTGGGCCTAAGGCTTGCAGTTCTAAGTTAAATCGAGACTTAATCTAGAATCCGAAATTGTACGAAAATGTGACTGTTGTGAAAGAAAAACACGCGTCCAATAATTCTACCTCTCTAATAATACTCTCTATCTCTCTACCTGATAAACGAAGAAAAAGAAGTAAGTCATCATACCTATTATCCAGCCTTTGGTTATATACATACACGCCTAGATACCGTACTAACTGCACGAAAGTGTCACCAAAAATATCTACCATAGGTAGATAACTTCGATGCTACGAACGCACACATTGACTGCTTTCCAAAAATCTGATCTTAGCGTGGTTTCTTTGGATTTCTTTATCGAGGCGTATATATAACTGAAGTATCCGGCATGCATGCAGCATGTATCGGACCCGGCATTAACCTTGTTGAAAAGTGGCTAGTTTATCGACGGCAACAATTTCCGAAGTTGCCTTATAAGCCGCTTTTTTGTAAGCTTTTACTATCTGCTTATCAAAAGTAAAAATTTTATTTAAATTGGATGCACAACACAAATCTTTTGAATCGTCCATATTTTTTCCCCGTGTTCTTATAAAAGGCGCATTCGACATAAGTATACTTTTAGCATAGTGGAATTCGGAAATCACAGAAATTCTCATAAAATAAAATACGATTTTATAGCCGATAGCCAGGTACATATTTATTTATTTCCAGACGATGCCTTCAATCCAGTCGAGGTAGCTGGAGACCCTGGTGTAGACGCCAGGTAGGTTTGGGAGAGCGCAGCCCACTCCGAATGACGTTACACCGATTATGTTATACATGCGCATACAGGAGTGATTCAAAGAGCAACTGTGAAAAACAAATAGTTTATTTATATTTACTGTATGGTAAGTCATCTCACTAAGTTTTCTATGTCTATAGACATAGAAAACTTACTGAGCTTCATTTTCAGTATTTAACGTCCCCACTGATGGGGCACAGGCCTTCCCTGTTCTATTAGGAATGGTTCTATTGCCACTATAAAGAATGACGTAGGCATAATGCCAAATTGGGAACCAACGTTGAGAAATTATCAGTTCGTATAAAATTAAAAATAAACAATTTTAAATCATTTTATTTCCAGTTTTTATATCTTGTACGATGGATTGCACATTTATATCTTCGTGCGAGACCAATTCGCTCGTTCAGAAAAAATGGATAAATGCCGGTTTGTTTGATCGAACTCTTGGTACAAATATAGAAACACGATACAAAATTACTAATGTTTATCACCGTAGCGATAAAAATAAATATGGAAACCGGACTGCTGACCTTCAATAGTCGGGACAATCACCAACGAGAAAAATAATACTCAAGAAATATTCTTACAAGGGTCGCCGCTGTTGAAGAAGTATTTTGAGTTGTAATGGACCGCCGGAGTCACCCTGAAAAACAAACATTAAATATTGTAATAATAATAATAATAATCTTTATTATTTCTTAAAATACATGCATAACCAGTAAATCTACAATACAGTATTATAAGAAAAAGAGAGAAATACTAGAGAATAGATTGTCTGACCAACGATCCTCTTCTTCATTTGTCAGCAAATTACCAATTTAACTTTTTAATTTAATGGGACGCAATAAACACCGATTCAGTTAGTTCGATTAGATAATTTAAATAAGACAAGACTCTTTAGACAATATTTTCAAATATCTACCTTACGTAAGTTATCTTCTTGGGTTTTACTGCTGCTTCTATATTTATGGCGGCAGTTTGCTGTGTAATGATTAACATATTTCTAGTTTCATTAAAGCTATGGAACTTGGAAGTGATTTTTAATTTTACAGAATCGACCTACTGAGCAAAAGAATAACTTTTCACCTGGCAAGCATCAATGCCTCCCGCTAAGACTCCTGCACAGATCTGATGATCCTGCATACCGCACCATAGCCGGTTGCACGACGTATTTAACAAATCATCGCACAGGTGGGAATCTAACAGATCTAATTCCACCACTTGAAGATCAGGAGATATGGTGCGATTAACTGGCAATCGGAATAAGAGATACATACATAAAACTCATAATATAAACGAGATTTTAAGTGAAAATGGAATAGAACGAAAGAATTATTCTCACATTGTCGGTATGAGAGACCATCAGGCCAGGACCAACGATGTTAATTTATTACGATAATTTGTAGAGCTTTCCCCTTATTAAGATAAAATTGTGGTTTACTATTGAATATTATATTAAACAAAAATTGTCGCCAGACAGCTGAAGATTGCTAATTTGGCTAAGTATCTACATTCCAAACAATAAATAACACAACTAGAGATTGACAGTGAATGGAAATCGTAGCTAGTTTTAAAAGCTTGCAATAAATTTCCATAGGCGTACATAAGCGTCTCAATATTATGGATCGTCTTCGACATCAACTTATTAATATTATCTCGGTTTGGGACAGACGTAGTGTTGTAAGAAACCAGAACCCAGGAGTCTATATATCTATAATTAAGGGGCTTGGGTCTAATCTTAAGATTTAGCTTATTATGAAATATAATAATAGTATAAAATAAAAAGAAATAACCAAGTAGAAGAAAACGAGTTGGCTTTACATATCGAGTTTTTGCAAGACGCGAGACTGACCACTGCTCGACTCGGATCTGGACTCGAGAACACTTTAGTCCGCTAAGAACTGCCCAATTCAATCTAAAATAAACTAATTTTGAGCCCAGGACTTAGAAATGCGTAAAAAATCAGAATGGAATCAATAAACAGATACTGCAAACAATATTTTTCATCAATAAATAGAAACATTATTTTACCTGTTTCCACGACACCCCATTCAGTCATCGAGGCTTTTTTCCCAGATAGTTCCGTATCAGGACCGGTGTAAAGGCATGCCGGTTGCACATACTTGTCAAATCCAACTGCGTTCTTTAATTCTATGATGGCTATATCGTTATACTTTTTCGGTGGTTTGTAATCCGGATGATTAATAACTCTCAAAATTGTTGCATCCAAATGTGCATTATTGTATCCATAAATATCTCTTTCCTGAAAATTATACGAATTTTATGGTTCATTTTAAAACCTTATTAGTTTATTAGATTACTAGGATTCTTTTGATTCCATCCCCAAGATTCATAGCCAAGTATAAATTATTCTCTAGTATTGAGTTTTTGTCGTAAGTAACTTTTTCAGACGTCTACGGATAAGGGATTAAGAATTAGGTGGTAAGAATAAACATTTCATTTTGCTAAAACTGCAGATTCTCACCAGTATATTTCTGTCGGCCAACCTCACAATCTTGGGATCGACGTCGGCGATGGTCGTGTCCCTTTCAGAAGCCTTAGAGCAATGCGCCGCGGTCAATACAAACTTGTTACTGATGAGGGAACCACCGCACTTGAACACCCACTGGCCCACTGACGCCTTCCAGCCGATGGCACCCTGAATTGAATATTGAGTTAAATGTTAATGGTGAACTAAAACTCCTAAAACTGCAAACCTCGGATACTTTTATATTTATATTTATTAGGAATTTCACTATATGTGATGAAATATAAAATAAGAGAACCTTCTCTAAACCTAAGCTTAGTAATGATAGGTGCCTAAGCGTCAGCGTGACATCAACTCGGAAAGGGATCGATACCGACTCGCCTACCGGGTTGCCTAAAGAAGCGTCCACCTTACCTAAACATGTAACGCAGCTGTAGTACGTTCAGATCGGCTACGGCTAGGCGACACCGCGCTTAGAGTGGGAAAGGAGGAGCCTGCATACCGCTGCCTTATGCGTGAGAGAAAGGGTATTTCTTATAAAATCAAGTCTTTATGGACTCCGTAAACATTAGTAAAGAACGTGAGATTGTTTTCTTAAACTTGGCAAATATCCTGTTATCAATGTTCTTAATAATTCATTAAAAATCTCACCATGTGTGGGAATTCCCCAGGGTCTGTCACTCGGCCACCAATAGCAGGTAGCACCACAGTACCATGAAGAAATTTTTCACCTGTAAAATATTTTGATTATAATGAAAGCAAATATTTTCGTGATGAATTATGTATAAGTCTTTACATTTAAAAAAAAATAGGTTCCGTCCGCGTTACAATTAGTTAGGGGAGTTATGATTTTACAAATCTTTGATTTACGGTTATTACGGTTGCTATTACCTATAATGTCAAAAACGGAACTGTAGTAGTTTAGTTGTAGGTGCGTGTCAGTTTGTCTGTCACAATCATTTTGCTCGGAATTTACTGGAGCTACATATTTGGACGAGTAAAGTAAATGAATGAATTCCTAATAATGGTGTTACATTTGGGTTTAGAAGAAAAATAAAAAAGTAAATTGCAAACTGTGCCGTGTTGTATATCATTTTCTTTTAATTTTATATGTTAATGTATGTTAATTTTTTTTCAAATTTAAAATGAATAGTTTTAAAATATGTAAGAAAATAAATGAAAATGGACCTGTTTCCCGTTGCTAGAGCTAGTTGGTTTGGAGATTCCAAACCTACTGCGTCTAAAAATAAAAAATGCAGCTCTTTGTCTAAAGATTACAAGAAAACCTATAAGGAGTTTATAGTCAATAAAAAAAATATTTAAGAAGGAGCTCCATTACAACACGCGTAATTTTTTCCCCGTTCTTTGCTCGATGTTATAATATAGAGTCTAATGTTGTGTAGATAATAGTATAGAACCCTTTGGCGTGAGTCTGACGCACACTTGACCGTTTTGTTTTGTATTGGACACAGATAACACTCGTGCAGTACTTGAAACATGTAACCCCCTACACGATTAAACATTATTTCAATAAAAAGAAATAAATATAATTTATTACATTCTTCTAGCCTTATATGTTCATCCTCGCGTGCTGTGATGGTCCAAATATACTCCAAACATTCTGAAAAAAAAATAAAAAAAAACATAAGTACCCATAAATAATTCCATTTCAAAAAACATAAATAATAAAATTGGTCTTGCTTAGACAAAACCTAAAAATACCTGAACAAGTAAAAATACAACTGTTTGGTAAGGGTGTTTTATACCTATTTTGGGTTGCAATTAAAAAAGCCTATCTGAAACAAATCTACTGAACAAATTTTAGAGCGGGTAGATTAACATTGTATTATTTTAATTTAAATAAACAAAATTAAATTATATTCAAATATGCTATGTATTCGTTTAAGTAACTAGTTATAATTGTTAGCGCCCACCTTTGGATCTCAGATTATCATTTTTACTATTGGATCCCACAAAATATTATAATATATTTCCGTTGGATCTTACACTTTAAAAATGCATAATAAGCCCGTTTTATTATCAGAAATCAATAAGTATATCTTTATTCAAATTGGATGTACAACACTTTTGAATCGTACAAACATTTTTCTCCGTACCACTCGTTATTGGACATATTTTTTATCTGCGGAGAAAAACGAACGAGAAAACCTCCACAACATTAAAAGTATAATGTAACAACATTTACAAATCATTATATCATGATTTATTTAATATAGAAAACCTGTTGGTATGATTGGAACAGTTCAAACCTAAGCATTTTTGTCTGTAATATAATCAGACACTTTGTAATAAGCTTTTTTAATAAGTGCTTTTTTATACTATCTTTGAATTTATTTATGGTTAACTCTTGGATATTGCTTGGGACTTTATTGTATAAGCGAACACAAAGACCTTTAAACGAATTATTGATTTTGTGAAGCCAAATTCATCTAATTAAAGCCAATTTAATCTCATTTTGCAGGTAAAGTTAGTTTATTTTTGTTTCTTGTATTAATTGTGTGAACATCACTGTTTTTAAGAAAGAAATTAATATTTTTTCTTACAAGTAATAAATTTTCGTATATCGATGAATCCCAAAAAATATTTCTACTTGAATCCAAATGCTTAAAAAATGCGTATACTATCAACTATATTTTTTTTATGATAATAAAATGAGAGTGTAAAGTAAATTTCGATAGCTAACTGGAAAAGAAATGAGAAGTCCCTGATCACACCCGAAGATCAAATCGCTCCCTTAGTGTCGCCGCACATGGGCCACCGACCACAACCACAAAACGCCGCCACCGGCATATTTCTTGTAGTTTTCATACATTTTATATGGACTCGCCACACACGGTACGCCCCGGTTGCTCGCTTCTTATGGCCCGCACCGGCCACTTAATGCGCCGATACAAAACGCCGCCACACGTCACTCCCTTACCTTAGTCGGCCGCTGTCGCGCGCTTCAGCCACTTTAGTAGCCGCTTCTAGCTTCTCGTGGCGGCGTTTGTGGCTGTGGCGTGTGGCCCATCTGCGGTGACACTTTAATGGCAAGTTATTTCGGAATCGATCAACATTGCCGTTGACCCATCGTCAAGTATGTAAGGTGTACACCTTTTTCAGATCAGAAAACGTTCAGACCACCAAACTCCAGCGGCACTATTTTCAAGAATACCCCGCTATCAGACACTGATCTTGTAGCGTTGGCTTTAACCACGCCGCCAACACTCGAATCTCTAGTGTTGGGGTTTGTCAATAACTGGGCGATCAACTCTTTCTACCTGTGTTATACTTTCGCTGTACATGACCAAAACGCTGAACCGCCATAGATAATATTGGTAAAGTCGTTTTGCCTTAAAAAGGGAATACGCTACTGTTGGTCGCAAAAAACTAAATTTTGAAAAAGGTTAAACATGGTATGAAGTTTTAGACAAAAAAACCTTTATTTTCCTACGCGTCGAAGAAAATACAACCTATCCAATGCAAGACCTGATGATACTAACTCACGCTACTTATCCTACGACCCGGCGCTTTGTAGTCGGGCATTTTTGGAGGTTCGATTTCGCATGGATTCACTTGTGTTTCAGTGACGTTGTCAGACTCAGAAAGCCTGGAGAGCCTATTCTGAAATAAAAAATCAACTGAATATCGCTCATAAAATTTGAATTTCACATTATTACTACTGCCAAACTTACATACGATTGATGGAAAAATAACGAAACAATATAATGTCGACGACTTTCGACACGACGGCAATATATTGTCGTGGTGGTATGTACACCGGTTTGCAAGGTGTCGCAGCAACAATTTACATGATGAATACGAGCATTTCTACCTAGTCATGGCTGTTTGTATATAATATTACATTTTCATATTTCTACAAATGAAATCTTATCTATCTATTTCTACCCATTACCCTAGGATCCCACAATACAAGCTATACAATACTTACTTTGTGTGTTAGAATTAAAAAAATATATTATCAAAGAAACAAATAAGTTATAACGGAACTTATAGACTCACTTGTGTTTTATTTTCGTTGCTAGCTGGTGAGACACCCCAAATCCATTTTTCCTCCTCTTCCTTCAAACAAAAATTACCATTTTAGAAAAGAAAGAAGTCTAGACGTCTTTCATTCACAGATGGTCTAGCAAATATCACGTCAACGTTATGCGTAAGTAAGTGTCGCCGCACACGGGCCACCGACCACAACCACAAAACGCCGCCACCTGCATATATCTTGTAGTTTTCATACATTTTATATGGACTCGCCACACACGGTACGCCGGTGGCCGCCACACGCTACAAATCGTCGTTGCTTGCTTCTTGTGGCCCTCACCGGCCACTTAATGCGCCGATAAAAAACGTCGCTACATGTCACTCGCGCGATTCCCCACTCCTCTCCATTACCTTTTTTTTTTTTTTTTATTCCTCCCCTTACCTTAGTCGGCCGCTGTAGGGCGCTTCAGCCACTTTAGTAGCCGCTTCTAGCTTCTCGTAGCGGCGTTTGTGGCTGTGGCGTGTGGCCCGTGTGCGGCGACACAAAAATACTCGATGGTTCATTGCATATTTAAATAAAATACAATACCTTGAGGATGCTTAAAAGAATCTCAATAAACCTAAAATATTGTGAAAATTTTCTTCGTGCATTAGCCGATTACTCCAATAACTAAGAACGGTGTTTCCTATATCTGTATTAATTTTATTGATGTTAGCCCGCCGCTGAATTCTGCAGCCATCTGTTTTTCATAATGAACTTAATTTAACTGCATGATTAGTGACGGGTTGGCTAAAAAATTGTCGCAAACACCATTAATTTTATTAAGTATCAACCGTTTTTTTATGTTAATTGCATCCATATGTTTTTTTTAATAAATTTATCTATGCTCGATGTCGAAATATTTGAATTACAAATTGAAAGCTAGTTTTATACAGACGTACTTTATAAACTTTTTATCTTAAACGCACATACATGAAATCACTACATAGTATAAAGCAAAGTCGCTTCCCGCTGTCTGCCCCTATGTATGTTTAGATCTTTAAAACTATGCAACAGATTTTGAATATTTTCAAAAAACTGTTGCTGGATACCCGCCTTATCATAAACAGACTCTTTTATTTTAATATCCCTTCATATAAATGGCAGTGGCATAAACTACTAGTACGCCACCTGAGAAGAGCCTTATTTTAAGCATAAACGTCGTCCTCATTGGCAACGTTCGTACAATTTCAAATATCTCCAGAGGTCTCCAAATACAGCTCGTAAGCTGTCGCATAAGCTTATGTACATTATTTTCATCGCACAATGAAATTGTATCGCGACATCGCACGACCGTTGCCAATTAGGACGACGCCTTAATCTGCTCGATTAACAAATCTAAAGATTTTTTTTTAAGAAAAGCTGTCATTCTTATTCATTAAAGATTAGATATGTTTTTTGGAAAGTTTAATTTACTAAATACAATCCAATCTTATGAGCCCTAAACGTAACTGTTGCTCTCAATTCATACCGCGATTTACCTTCAATAGTATTAGGTATATTACCGTAATTAATACAAACTAGTATATTATTAAATACGTTGTTTACATATTCTCTAAGTCTATTTGTACTTACAGATAAATAGATACAAATCCATGACTCATGACTCACCTGTTGGAAGTTTTCTAAGATTTCCATTGACTGAGTTATGGCTGAAGCTAAAAAAATATGAAGAACATGTTATTATAACATCCTCAGATTACAAAAGTAGTGACGCACGGAACACGCATTACATCCCACCAAAGCACGCAATGTTCATGATATGACAAATTGAGATGTTTAATTAGAAAAAAGGCATAATTTAAAAACAAGCTTTCGTTTTTTATATAATTTTCATTAATTGTTTGCTCACAAAATTAGTATTACCTATTTGATTGGTGACCATTAATAATGTGTACAGCAAATTAATAATATTATAACTAGTGCTGCTGTAAGAAAAAGGACGACAAAACACACTCCTTTTTAAAACTTAAAGAAAACGGCTTTTTGCCACCGGATTGCATTGTCGTCTAATTAATCTTTTTCATGATTGGAACAGATAAATATGTCAAATTTCACGTCATCACATATCATCATCACCAGCGTATTAATATCCCCACTGCGGGGGCACAGGCCTTACCTATGGACGGAATAGGGAGATTTAGCCATGACCCACCACGCGAGCCTCGTGCGGATTAGTGGGTACTAACGGCTGCAGATGCAGCCGGTCGCAACCGCTTAATGTGCCTTCCGAAGCTCGGAGGTGCTCGAGATTAGTTATTTATTATACAAGAGTGGAAAGTTCCTTTTTAACCGCGTGCTCGATTTGGATGACCGAGCAAGCGAAGGATTCTAAAGTTGAATCACGAGCGCAGCGAGTGATTCTAAATTAGAATCCTGAGCGTCAGCGAGGGAAACAAACGAGCACAAGGTGAAAAATCTTTCCACTCGAGTGCAATACGTAACTTTTCATCCCACCTCAGCGAGGAAATGACAAAATGAAAAAGAAAACAATTTATAATGACAAAATATTTTTATTTCAATTAAAACACATTAAGATAATCTATAAATTGAAGAAAATAATAAGAAGTAGAAAATAATTAAGAAATATTAAATGTAACGTTGCTACAGTTACTTATGTTAAGTTTAATATTTTTGTTAGGTAATGTTATGTTGGTGTTTGTGAATTGTGCGCTGTTTTGTGGTAAACTACTCGTATCAGTAATTTTAAATAGTTGTGCCGATTCATTGGATTCTATTGGCGTAAATGTTGGCGAGAGAGGGCTATTGTTTCCAATCTTATGGGGGCTCATTTTAGATGTAGAAGGGCGAGACCAAGAATCTGACAGAGGTTCTTTCAGCGTTATGGCCTCCACGATACTATTACAAATTTTTGATTTACTTTGGATTGAATCCTCTATGTATCCCTCTACAACCGAATTAGACTTCCAGCCTCCATGGCGCTTAAGCGATAGAAGATCAGCCCCTGATTCGGCCAAAAGTGTGGCTGAGGTTCTTCTAAAACAGTGACCGGTGTATAACGGGGGTTCTAAAAGTCCGAGAAAAGTTGCTATTTCTCGTGGAATACTGCCAATTTTATTCTGACCCATAGGTTGTCGGATACACTTTCCGTTGCGATATTGTAGAAAAAATCGTTCAATTGGGGTGTTAGAAGGACGTAAAGCTTGATATTTCTGAACAATGTTTACATATTCCTTGCGAATAACGAAGTTGCGGTCTTTTTTTGTCTTGGTATTTAGTACATTAATTAATAGCAATTCATCAGAATTATGAGAATATTTTGATACGTTATTGACATTAAGTAGTGTAAGTTCATTTGTTCGACATGCTCCGGTTATACCAATAATAAGAACAACCTGTAACAAAAGAAGTATTTATAATCGTAAATAAATTAATCAAATTAAAAATATTGTAAGTACTATGTACAATTTTATCAACAACAAAAAATTACACGTATTGACTTACTTTTGCCGCTAAATATACGGAATCAGGTGCTTCATTAATAAACTTTGCAATTTCAGATGCTGTGAAAACCTTCGATTTTTTTGGTTTATAACCAGATGAGGCTCTTTTTAAAAATGCCACTAATTTATGATAGGTGTCGATATGAACGTCTTTCTTCATCTTAATTGTTAATTTTAGCATTGAATACGTACTCCATAGCGTGCTTGCTTTCTTGGTCTCAGATAATTCTATAAAATATGCCAGCAAAACGTTTTCGGAGAAAGTTTTTGCTCCTTTAGCTAGTCGCCACATGTTAAATATATCGTACTGTTTCAAATACTTCTCTCGTGATTGCTGAGGGAGAAGGCTCATTTGCGCATTATTAACTGTTTCAGTTAACTCAGTTGGCGTTAGATAAACTTCATCGTCGCTAATGTCACTCATTTTAGTTGATTTTTTTGTACAGTTTTTAGGTTATGTTAATTATATTAAGCAATAAAACGTGAAAAACTAGAATGGCGCGAAGCACGCAAATAAAACAAAGAAACCAAGAAGGTTCCAAATTTAAATTTTTTCACAATTTAAAAAGTTCTAATCATAAATTTGGCACCATAGAGGTTACATTAAATAGGTTTAATGACGTTTTGAATTTACAATTATATTGAGTACTCATTATATGTGATGTTCTAAATTCAAATCTACTTTGCCGCTCAAGCGAATAAAATAGAATTTTCCAGCCAGATTTCGAAGCGCAAAATTACACTTTCCGAGGTGGTGGGATGAAAAGTAAATTATTGGTCACCCAACCACAGACCGACCACTGCGAAAGTTGCTTAACCTTAACGATCGCAGCCGAACGTGCTAACTACTTATGCTATCAAGCTGCCAAAAAATTTCACTTGCAAGATTTGATTAGCGACAAACGGATACGCTTCAAACTCAAAAATAACGAAAATTCAAACCATTACATTACTAGTGCATAGCTCAGTTTGTTGCGCTTTACTTACGCTTTAATTACTTATCAAAAAGATTTCCGTAAACCTTAATAAGCATACCTTGAATGAACACAAGACATAATAACACAAAAAAATCATTCTTGAATAACATCACACCCTCGACTGCACTTTTCAAAAGCTTTATCAAATAATAAATAAACACTAAATATTAGCAGATGAACACGATAGAGCACATCCAAAGTTCGCAGTTCAATGACGAACAATGCAGACCAGTTTTTAAAGCTTAAAATATCTTAGCCTAATCATTTCTAATTGTTTTATTATTACCTGTTTTTTACACCTTTTTTGCTCCCCAGACTGCCGTCTAGCTATATGAAGTATTTATAGTTTGTCGCAAATTATTTAACATTGGTATAAATGTATAACAGGCAGATTGTATTTTGCCGTATAACTTTCCAGCGAGCTATATTGAAAATTTTATTTTTTTGTTACAAATGTTCATACGAATTGATTGTCACTCCAATCCCTGAAATCGGTGCACGGTGTTTTGAGTACCTATATTTTTTTTAATGCAGGCACATTTTCGAAAAGGACCGTCATCTTTTAAAGATGATAAAAAATTTCTTTCCTGGGATAAAACCATTCATGTTGGTACCTGGCATCACTGTGTGTTGGAGATTTGGAGAAGCGGCTTGTTTTCTGCATTAAATACAGCATCCAATTTAAATATCTTCCAATAACGTAGACAGGTCCGATCATGGGAGTCGGCAGCCGGATGCTATGCGGCGCTGCAGAGCGTCGCTGCTGAGTGGCGCTGTCACTGATCGAAAGTGAACTTCAGACAGCTGCGGGACTTCGCACGTAGATGGCACAGGATCCGTAGTGGACTGGATAGAGGTGAAGAATGAAGAGCCGAGATGAGAAGACTGTACTACGCCGTTGCACGGAACCTCCAGCATCCACAAGTCTCCGAGGTAAAATCTGAGCATTTGCCGGACTGCCCGGCGCCATTCCGCGCCGGCGGTGACTGCCGCGCCCACAGCCGCAGGCCTTGAGCGCGCCGCAAGGCTGCGCTCGGCCAGGTTCGCGCAGGCGTAGCCCCCAGCACGCAGCATGGACGATTACACCACCACGTACACGATGCCACAGAGCCCCAACCCCCCAGTGGATGCAGATGTAACCCAGACCAGGGCCCTCTTCGCAGCCAAGATGATCGGCATGAGATCGAAACGCGCCCAATATGAATTGGACGCGGCGATGTCGAGCCGACTCATACAGTCAGGCCTGCTCTCGAAGAGGCTTTCGAGATGGATTTACACCTTCATACGCATACTGGACGAGGAAGACAGCTCGGTGACCGAGCTCAGCCCAGATGACTACAAGTTCATCGAAACTTGCAGTTCGGTCAACGCACAGCCGCTCACGCTCCCGCCGCCAACTGACATCTTTATGGAACCCATACAGACGCAGCCGAGACAGCCCCGCGCAGTGCGACCGCGCGATATCCATCCGCGCCGTTCGCACAGCTGCGATGTGCTGCCGTTCCTTGACGACGAGCCCTCCGAAATAGAGGTAACAACCCCCTCAGTGGAGCAAGAATCCACCCCCGCCGCCCCAGACCAGCCGCAAGATGACACACCGACTGCTTTACCGACGCAGCCGAAGCAGTCGTACGCGCAGGCCGCGGAAAAATCCGCGCCTACCCCCGAAGCTGAGAAAAAAAATCCACCTACCGCCGCTTCAACCACAACCGCACAGATTGCGCAACCGGCCTCCAACAGCGCTCCCACGTCCCAGCGGGCCCGTAAGCCCCCGCCGATAGTGGTTGAGCAGCTGCAGGACTGGCCGAAGCATCAGAGCGAGATCAAACTGAAGCTTGGACGCTCGCCCAACGGGTGTACGCTTCTTGCCGAATGACGACCACGAGACCACGACCACCTTTCCGGACTGGAAGGCCAGGCCGGACTTAGCTGGTACTCACACGCCCACCCCGATGACAGAAATCTGAAGGTGGCTATCAGAGGACTGCCCGCCAATACCCAGCTGCACGTCATCGCTGAGGCCCTTACCGCAGAGGGCTTCGCAGTGGACCACATTAAAGAGATCCGGTCGCGAGCAGGCCGCACTGGATGCCTCTATTTCGCCTCGCTACGCCGAACCCCCGAGACCATCCCAGCCATCTACGCCGTAAGTACTCTGCTACACATGTCCGGAGTACAGATAGAGGCCTGGAGAGGAAGGAAGACCCCAGCGCAGTGCCACCGCTGTCAGGGGTTCCGCCACTCCAGCCACGGATGCCACCGCCCGCTTGCCTGCGTGCGCTGCGGTGACCCGCACGCTGCCGCAGACTGCCCCCGCCCGCTAACGCAGCCCGCGACTTGCGCGAACTGCGCAGGCGCGCACCCGGCAACCTACAGCGCGTGCCCCGCGAAACACCGCGAGGCGCGCAACCGCCGCGCCACTACAGTGGCCCGCACAGGCCGCCCGACCACCGAGCCAATCCAGCAGCCCACGGAGGTGAGCGAGCACGCGCCGGCCACGTTGATGGCCCCCGCAAACGCTCCTCCCTCCCGCACCAGCCACCCCAAGCGACGCAACCGCAAGCCCCGTCGAGCGAGCGGAACATCGCCGACGGACTCACCCACCGCAGCCCCACCACCCAATGAAGGCAACCAACCCTCACCGCCACCGCCCGCCCAAGAAGACGCGACAGCCAGACTGATCTTACAGCTCACCGAACTGCTAGCGGACTTTGCGAAAAAGTTCGGGCAGTCAGGAAAAACTTTTTTCGCACCCACCCTCGCACCACCTACCCTCGGACATGCCACTACCCCTGCCCGCTGAAGTCCATCGCCCGCTCGCAGGTCGCTCACTGGGCCTCCCTCATGGGTCTCACCCGGTGGGCTTGACCGCGCCGAGGGCGATGAGTGAAGAAGCGGAGGCGGGGGTAACAGCCGTCGACCGTCTCGTCCGAAGACGAGATGCGAACCCGACACCTCCGAAATGGCTCACGCCAGTATGGATTCCCCGAGACGACGACGACGAGATGAAGAGCCGAGGCGAAGAAAAGAGACACAATGATTTGGAGCCAGTGGTACCTACCACTTCAGGGTGGGCACAGGAAGGCTGGAAGGCGATGAAGGCGTTTCGTGTAAGTCTGCCCCAGAAACGGAAGAGGGACCATAGGGACAAAGGAGACAGATAAAGAATAATTTGTAGGGAGGCAAGAAAGTACGCGCGGTGGTGACCAGCCTGCGCGTAACTCCCGCTTCTTTTGCCTGCAGGAAGGTTTGTCAGGCCATGGGTGGTTGGTGAGATTTGTAAACCTCAACGAATGCTATATATGTCACTAGTGGCTCGCCCTCGGTTCGCTTCGGGGTAGAATTGATCAAAATCCTTTCTTAGCGGATGCCTACGTCATAACATCCTACGTCATACAAAGGTTGTCTGGAAGAGATCGCTCTAAGCGATAAGGCCGCCCATTGTTACACTAGTTTTAATTGGTTATGTACTAAATTTAATGTTATATGTGGTGTACAATAAAGTGTTTTGTATTGTATTGTATTGTATTGTAACATCTACCTGCATGCCAAATTTCAGCCCGATACATCAGTGGTTTGGGCTGTGCGTTGATAGATCACTATGTCAGTCAGTCACCTTTGAGTTTTATATATATAGATTGTCTAGACCTAAGATGAGCGAGATCTATGGAGTAGTGGTCAGCACTTTCAGCCCGCAATCGTCCTAATCTAGCAATTTTTTACTGTCTAGAGTTCCTGCGTTCTTCGTAAGTTACGCCAAACCGTTTGTCCCGGCTGCATCTGAAATAGTTAGCATCCACCAAAGCGCAATGCACCCGCATGGTGATGCAATTCTGTCCAAAGGGAAACCCCAGGGAGATTTAAATTGGGTGTTGATGGATGAGTTAATAATAGTATTTATAGTAAAATCAGTAGAAACGAACCTTATTGATGAAATCGCGAGAGACATCATATTAAGTAAACCTTGCAATTGTAGTCAAATGTTGATGAATTTCTTGCGTCTAATCTTCTTATATCAACTAAAAAACGTCCAGAATTATTAAAAACTAGCGGCCGCCCGCGACTCTGTACACATGGATTTAGTTATTTGCACATACTTTTTGTATTGACTATTGACCCCAAAAGGGGGTTTATTTCTTAAGATATATTATTAGTACACCTCTACATATAGAACATACATACATTTTAAATTTCAAGTCCCTTACTTCAAAAACATAGGACTTTCATACAAACTTCCAAGCCCCGTATTACCCCCTTAGGGGTGGAGTTTCGTGATTATATGTAGCCTACATGTTGACCCGACTTCTTAATAATATTCATGCCAAAGAACAATGGGCAAAACGCACCCAGCTCCGCCAACAATGTAATTAGTATGAATCGATAGATCTATGAAAAACTAGCCTTTTTTATTATGACACCGAAAAAAAATATCCTGGGAGTCAAAAGATATGACACATGGGCATATTTAAGTAGGTAAATAAATTCATTTATAGTACCTTCATTTTATATATATATATTTATATTATTAGTAACCATAATAATATGCCATATCGTACTATACAACCAGATATACGACAAAGTCTGCCGATCTATCCTGCGCTTGCACTTACTGAGCCACCTCAAAACGGTTTACGGGGGTTGAAGGAATTGCATTTGCAAATAGTCGACTCATTTTACTTCGTTGTAATTGTGCGCTCGCTGACACTTTATTGGTTTTATCTAACACGCTTTGGACATTAGAACACGGTTATCGGTTTTGTCAATTAGTATGGATGAACTGGAATCATGTTTTCTCCGAAGCGTGGACAAGGTTGGGTGATTTGTGGACGCTCCGTTTTACAAAGAAGACAATTTACTATAACGAACAGAATATTTGAAAAAACCCCAACCCATGCGGGGATTTTTGGATTTACTCTAGTGCTGCAGAATAACATAAGAGGGCGGGGGCACCCTTGAACCCTGTGAAGTACTCCCATAATATCTTTTTTATTTTAAAAAGAATTACAACCAAAAACAGTCAGTACAGTAAGATTACATAACAAACTTAGCACTAGTTTTATAGAATCTGAGCTCCCTATGTAGTGTCGAACTAACGAAATTAATTCACTTGTTTCATTAATGTTTGTTCGTTATAGTACTTGTACCTATTTAACTTAAGACTCCCGGTATAGAATTTAATGCGCTTTGGCACAGATGATCATGATTATAATACCTTTCAAACAAAAGTAGTTTAAGCCGTGGCGGACGTGGGTGCAGCGTCCATATATAAAAATGTCCTTTGAAGTAAATCCATGCAGTACTTTTTTTGAGTTTATCCCGGACATAGATACAGACAAAAAGCCAAAAATTCTAAAATCTTTATTTTTGACTTCGGTATCGATTGCAGATCACACCCCAAGTATTCTTTTAAAAAAATATTCAATGTACAGTTTTGAATTTCCTACCATTTTATATGTACATAAATATATACAGGAACAATGAACCTTAAACTAAAAACCTTAAAAAATATAATATAGTAACTAAAATATATTACTAAAAGGAGTCCCTTTAGGCAAGGTTCCGATGATACTGGCAGCGTTCCCCCTTTGAA